GGTGCTTTACAAGTCAATGCAAAATTGTTAGCGGCTCAAACTGCCGGTCTCTACGCACAAACACAACACTGAGCAGGCGGCAGCTTACCGCCCTGAATGGCCACCATTAAGATGCATTTTGCTCCTGGGAGGAAAATAATGTATCAATTAACTTTAGCCCAGGATAGCGTAGGCTTCTCGTACAAGTGCCAACTCATTGATATTGTTTTTCTTCTGACATTTATCACCCATGTCAAAGTCGCGCACACAGCAGACAAGACCGTCTCCCGCACACTGCGAACCGGTGATTTAGATCCCGATTCCATTCCCTACACGAGCTCAACGTCTGCTGCAAAGTGCACAAAGAACCTTGCCCGAGTCGTGAGCACACATAGACGGCATTAATGACCTGCGTTGCAGGTCATTCCTTGCCGCTGGTTAACTCCGCTCGGTGAAACTTTGGCTCCCCGGTCTTTCTCTTTTTTTTGTTTATGTTTCTAATTTCACAGGGTATTTCATGAATCCACAGAGGTCGCACCCTGAAACACTTTCGGCCGACACTAAACACCTCTTGTGGAAAGAAAGCGCTTTCCAAAATAAGCCCGCACGGTCAAAGACCCCCACTGTTGCCATCGTCCAACAAAAGTGTGTGTGTGGTGCTTAACTTTGGACACACGCGTTGGTACTTGTACGCAAGGCCGTGCTAAGGTCAAGCTCAGACTTACGCAAATAATCGTTTCAAATTATACCTGCAACCTGAAATTGTTTGAATTCGGGTTGAATGTAATTTCATTCCACGCTGCTCCGACGACTACTACTACAATTATGAACATTAGTCAGTTGCTTTTATTGTTCAGTTTAATATAGTTTAATAATCGGCATAATCTAAAGTGGACTCAATTCTTCATTTCTGACTATTAATTCCAAGCAGCCGTTTCACCCAGAGACAAACCTCTAACAAGGGAACACGACCAGATTTGTTGTTGCACAATTCATTCTGATACTGCGTGCAGCGAGTGCAAGCTATTTTCTAATTTAGCAAATTTATGGTCACGAAACTTGCAAAACCTTTTCGTGGCATGGTCGCCGAGTGTTTTGGCAGTGCAAATGTACCGGAGCCCATGGGGGTCCAGGCGCAGGGTTACAAAGAGGTGGGAAATCGTACAAGAGGCCCCCATTTCACCAAGACCCACACCAATGACGCCATGCCACTACAAACAATGGCTTGCGCTAAACGTGCCATGTGTCTATTTAAAATCAGTTTTTTCAGGTGGCATGTTTCAACGGTAACCTTTGATCTTGTCCGATCTCAGAAGTTGAGCACGTTTGAGTCTGGTTATGACTTGCCTCGGAATACAAGATGTTGTACGCCTGTGTCGCGAAGTGGTCAGGGATGCCAGTATAGTGATGGATACTTAAATTAATCTACGTGAAGCTCTTTGAGCATTGCGTACTGCAAGATCCGACCATGTCCATTCAGTGCTCGCTGAGCTGCGTTGGCTTCCGGTTGCCAAACGAATACATTATAAGGTCGCGCTCATTACCGCGCAAAGTGCTTGCCACAAATTAACCACAATACCTTGCTGATCTGGTCAAGGAGCATGAACCATCACGAAAACTCCGGCCATCCTGACGACAACGGCTTTTGGCGAACCATCGAACAAAGACGGCGGTCACCGCATCGCTCGGCGCTTTCAGACGCGCTTCTGCGGCCCTCCGGAACACTCTTCCTGCCGATATTAGGAAGCCACTGCATTTGTGCACTTTCATATCTAGATTGAAAACGTATTTCTTTAGGGCATCTTCCTGCCTTTAGTTTGTTGTCCTTCAACCGGGCACCTCCGATTAGCATGGTTGGCTACGTACGGTGCAAAAGAAGTTCAACATACATACAGTACTTACTACTTCATATGCGGGCTTTCTCCGGGTATTTCATTACCCCTCACATGAAGCCTTAATCGTGCAAATGGCCAAATGTCTCTTTGCAGGTTTCTCCTAATAAAGAGTGTTCAGACTCGGAAGATTTGTTGGATAAAGGAAATTAAAATTATTAGAGAGGTGAGATACGACCCACAAAATCGACGCAAATCAGCTATCTTGTTGACAATTGTGTTATAACCTCTATGTCGTATAGTTGTAGACATAATTAGATTATGTTTGGAAAGACCAGTTTCTTGTCAGTTGTTTTCACCTTTTTACTTATTACATCCCTCACATATATGGTAATGTGCACAAGTATACTTCACACAGAGACTAATAATATACCATGTGTAAATTATAACCCAAATTATTCCCAAATCATAATACAAATAATAACATATTTAAATTCTTGGTTCTTTTGGTAAAGTCAACACATTACATAAAATTCGTGATCTGATTCCGTCTGTAAAAGATGTGATTCCAGACATACAGTACCCTGGCGTCTACAAACTAAGTTGCCTCTGTGGTAGTAGTTACATTGGAGAAACCAAACGACATGTCTCGGACCGCATCCGTGAATACAAAGCAGACCTTAAACACGGTAGGACCAACACCTCGGCCGTGGCAGATCACTGTTATAATTCAGTAGGCTCACATGACATTGACTTCTCCAAGACAGAGGTTCTTTGCAAGCCATCTGGCTACCATGAGAGATTCGTTCATGAGGCTATCCACATATACAAACACAGAAACAATTTCAACCGAGATGGATTCTGGCTTAGCAATCATTGGAAGGATTTGATAAACCATTTCGGGTCTTAATTGATTGTTCACGCTTACGGTGGCTTTCAGACAGCATACATTATTTTTCGTCTCCCCCCTCCTCTTTTCCGAACATAGATGGACTCGTCCATCTGAGCAAACTGTCAAATCGCTCTCCGTGGTGCTAACGTTAAAAAACCGCCAATGCGATGCAGACATAAACAATGGCAATCTGTGTAAAAGCTAGCCACCAACATCTGCAAATGTAAAGTTGTGATACAACTATGAGAAATCAGTCCACAAAAGTAGATTGTGGTGTTAAAATGTTCAGTTGGTGTCAAGACCTGTAAGGTCATATACAATTTCAAAGCCTTCCACACCAGCTATAAACTGGCCCGAAGCCTAACATCACTGCACAGGTCTCAGATGTCCAGCATCTGCAAGGCAAGTAATTTTGCACATGTTATTTTCTATCAGTTGACAACTTAAATAGTCGTGTATTTCTTATATCAGTTGCATTTAAATCAAATAAACGCAGCGCATAAAGTCTTATTATTGCTTGAATACTTAAAAAAACAAGAGACCAAAACTGAAACATGACAAATGGCTCTGGTGAAAACAGAAATGGTGAGATTAACTGCGAAATCGCTCTCCGTGGTGCTAACGTTAAAAAACCCGCCACTTTTTTCAAATTTTCTTGCTGTGATTTTCACACCTGATGATGATTGCTTGTGTTGCAGTCGAAACGTCGTGAGAATTTCATCGTTATATATATTTATTATTTTATTATTTCCCTTCTATGTGACTTTACCGAAAGAACCAAGAAAATGAATCCCTGCAGTCATGAAAGCTTTAAATCTCTTTTGCGTTCTCAACTTTTTATTTTGACATCACTCTGGGCACATTTGTGCCGCTTCATTATCCTCGGTAAAATTGTAACATTTGCTCATGTGGCCTGTATGGGCTTGTCAACCACTAATCAGTGCCTACATTATTACATACTAATTTAGATCTTATTGGTCACTCCGTGCCCTTATAAATCTCAACGTTCATCCAACAAAGTCCCATCACAAGGGAAAAACAGACACATTTTCATTTTATTTTTGCCCGTATTGAAACTGCTGTACGCCGTATGAACCTAAAAACTCAATTTCCCTGTAAAAGAATACGGGTAAACCATATATGGGTTGACAGGTATGTTATGAATCGCACGTATAATTGTGAATGAAGTGAATGATGACCATGGAGTAGACCCCAAAGACTCACGTGACTGCACAATCGGCCATGCCCACCAGTGGAGTAATCAATTCAGGGTACGGGGAACCTATTCGGATTCGCATCGACGCTGTACAGGGATTGAGCAGTGAGGTGCTGTGTTTTAATGTGGGGTCGATTTGTGTGCAACTGGTCGTGATTGCAGATGCACGAGTGCTGCTCAGAAGAACACTTTGGAATAGAGAGTTGCAGTTCCACAACTCTCCGGTGTCCCACGGTGGTGGAATCACTCGATCCTCAAGAGGAGGGCAGAACACAACGCAGAAAACCCACTCATCGTCTATTATTGTTGTCTTTATTAATCGGCTTGTCCCCTCGTTACGATCACGAGAGGAGAGGGATAGGGCGAGCCGGTTACACTTATTATTTTGCGTACATGCATCGAAAATCAGTGACTCTCACAACACGCACAATGGGATGCATGCGTTTTGAGCGCAACAAATGAATTTAATCCAATGCATAATTACTTGCCACCCGGGTGTGTAACGAAGCATCAACTAATCAAAAGGTATTCTTAAGCTCACAACGCATGTGATATTAAATTGCACGTAAAAAATATATTTTTGAAGTCACGTTATTTGTAACTGATTCACACTATCTCTACAGCCACGAGGGGCACTACCATTCGTCGCAATGTCAAGCAAATAATTGTCTTCATTCGAATTCGAGACACTGAAATTTGGAAAAGTAATCAAATCACCGGGAGAGTGAACCGTTGCACCCAAAATTCCCACAAACCAGAGTCCACGACCATGCACAAATTTCAATCGACCTTCTCTCTGTTTAACACGTATGTTTTCACAAATCTGGCTGTCGCCTGATGAAGCTAGTTGTAATTACTGGCAAAACGTCATACTTAGATTGTACATGTTGTGGCATTGCTCTCCAACACACCGTTGTGCTGTACCAGTAACAAATTGGCATGTTCTGTTTATGTGACAAACCTTACTAGTTGGCTGTGTCGGGTGGTGGCGGGTTTAATGACACATTTATATATTTTCGTGATCCAACCCAAAAAAAAACCGATATTATGGCCTCCTCTCTGTGTCGTTCTTCTTCTTTAGTTTCTTCTCCTCAGAGTCTCTCGCGCAGCAAGAGGTTGATGGGGGTGGAGGGAACGAGGACGCCCCGCGTTTTTGGCAGAACTTTTTTTGCGCCAGGCTCGGGCATCATCTCGAACGTCTTCACAAACTGCGGGAGCACGCAGCGCGCGCGGTGACAGAGAGAACGGTCGCTGAGATTCGGGGAGAAACCAAATAACGTCGCCATCTCGCATGGCGATACGGCCAGGGGTGTTCGGCCTTTTGCGCAACCGTCGATTCCACAGTCCTCTTCTCCCCCCCCCCCTCGCCACATTAGAGTGCATTAAGTTGTTTTAAATAAATGCAATTTGACCTTTACATTGACTAAAAATAATACGCGACTAAAAGGAAATACACGGTGGTGACTAGAGCAACCGCTTATTGGCGGTGAAGCAGATTATCAGCCTTAAATTTGTTATTTATGAAGCCAGGTAAAATCCTCCATCTTATCGGAGCTTCTAAGTAGTCGGTTACTAAGTAGTCGGTTACTCTACCGATTGGTGGTTCGATTAATCGAATAACACGGAAGAGGTTGTTGGGGAAGTGTCGCCAAAAGAGTGTCTCGCCGACATGTTGTGCCACTGGACGGGAGGTGATATGAGGTTTGGTGACTGTCACTGACATCATCAGCCTCGTCGCGCTGCGCTTTGTTGGGGGTTTCCCACTTTCAGGAGCCAGGAAGTGGTGGGCGAGTGCCATATTTTTAGAGCAGCACAGGTAATCGACCGCTAAAGTTGACGATTGCAATTTTTAGTTGACGAATCAAATTAATTGACTAAACATCCCAGTTCTACTTCTTACTGTCAAATCCCAGAATCGATTGGTGAGCTGCACCTTGGCATGCATGATACTACAAAGAGGTGTAAACTAAAAGACGCGGCAAATTGATGTCATTACCCACACTTATCTACGCGTTCCACCCAATCCGATTAGCACAAATATCCCGCACGAGCCCGCACAGCACAGGGAGGCCCTCATCCATATCCTCCTCCACCACACAATACTGCACCACGCACAACCTGCCGATTGACTGTGGTCTCCTAATTTATACTGCTGGGTGGACAGAGACGCGGTGGAGGGAATTCAATAAACTAGCACCATTGTTTCAACTACCGTGCCAGGAGACCACCTTGTATGTTGAACTTTTTTTGGACCGTATGTAGCCAACCACGCAAATCGGAGGTAACCTCTGGATTGCAATTTTGAAACTACTGAAACATTTTTTTATTTGACCAGGTAAGGCCCACTGAGCTATATATGTCTTCTTTTCAGAAGCAACCGGGCCAGAAATGAGATTTTAACGAAGTGGTTTATCATGTAGATATTGATAGCGGCCGAATATTTTCAACGCATGTTTCTAAATGTGCAGGGAAAAACTGGAGGAGCCAGTAATTACAACGAGCTTGTACGCAGATTGTAAATGTTGTGGCTCTGCTCTCCAACACAATAGGTGTGCTGTACGAGTAACGAATTGGCATGTTCTGTTAACGTGACAAACCTTACTAATTGGCTGTATCGGGTGGTGGCGGGTTTAATGACACATCTACATATGTACGCGATCTAACCCAAAAAGACGCCTCTATTATGGATGATATTTGTCACGAAATGTAGGCTACTACGTGTTAACCAAAAAAAACCTTCGTCTGGGGATACCGACCCTGGCCAGGCAGAGGTGCATCTCGAGCTCGGCGATGCGGCGTCCCACGCACCCACGCAGCCCAAAGCCAAATGGGATGTAGGCGAAGGGATGCGTTTTCTCCGAGGTGGCAGCATCATCAGCAGCAGCAGCCCCTTCCTCCCCTTCCCCGCCACTGCCGTGCCGCCACGCGGCACGGTCCTTGCCCCGCAGCCAGCGCTGGGGCTGGAACTCCCGCGGATTCGGGAAGACATCTCCATCCATGGAGAGCACGTATTGGCACAGCGACAGGTTGGTCTGCGGCGCCAGCGATGGGGAGCAACGATCACGTTGGCTGACCATCCAACATCCACCGATTCACTCCGCTCGCTCACCGGCCGCCAGTCAGTTGTCTCGTCACTATTTTCATTCGGCTGCTGCCCTGGTAACGGTTTTTCCGAAATTCCTTTCGTTGATTTGTCCACCAATGTGGAGAACTCGGGTCTACCGGAATGAAATGTTTCATCTCGACACTGCGTTCAACCACCACGATTATACTGCCGGTCAGAACCTTTCTCTTTCTGCTACTTTCTTGGCACTGCTCAACTTGGGAAAGCCCTCCCCCCATCTTCATCTTTTTGCCCAAGTCCAAAAAAAGCTTTCTCGACTCAAAGTATTACATCTTATCTGTTACATGTAACGTAGTTATTTTTTGTTGCTGACCGCTTGGCGTTTTGGGCCTTTAAGCCATGATTAAAAAAAAAAACACAACGAATTGGCCAATCCACTTATTTGAGAATAAAATTAAGTGCCATTCACATTGAAACGTGCCCTATCTCATCAGACCTTAGAAGCTAAACAGTGTTGAACCTGGATGGCCCTTGACCACCAGGTACGCGCCAGGTTGTTATAGGCATTTGTGGGCCTACGTTGGAGGCTGCAAAGGGCAGTGCGGAACAATTCATTGTTGTACTGTGACTCTATGCTTCCACATCGATGTTTCTAGATTTCACCAACCCACCCTGACCGGCGTGAAGTATGTAAACAACCTTTATGATCCACGTGGCATGTAGAGGCCCTCCATCCAGAAGTGGGTTGACAAAAAGGGCTGTACTGTACACGCACAAAGGCCATTTGTGGTGCAGGTCGCACACTTTTCTACGAGCACGGCAACGTGAGTTTGATTCTGTGCTGTCCATTTCACCAACTTGCATTAATACACAAGTATGGTCAAACGACCCAAAACTGACACGGTTTGGTAAATTCTTCATCCAACAGTGGATTGCGAAGGTCTGTTATTTAAGTGTCATTTTACAAACGGCTACGCCTGATGCATTTCGACCAATCACAGAACGTTATGATCGAGCCACTCCGGTAAACACAACATGTAAATCACCACACTTGACAAAAACGCCAGTGGTGATTAGAGAAACGATGCTATTTGGAAAAGTGTCAAAGTTACAACTTACAGAAATAATTAATTTTGAAGAAAAAAAAGGCCCGAACTTAATTCTACAGCTGAATCGACACCCAATGAATGTGGGGGAAATTGCCACGTGACGTGTGCAGTGAGCTCAACGCGAGCACGGTTTACCCCTTTCGGCAAGGAGTACCCGCCGAGTACCACGCCATCATCCACGATGCATCTCGCATTCTGGAAGACCACCGGGTATAACCTGCGGACATAAACAGCAAAAACATTTAGAGCTTAGAAATCTGCGAATTGTTGAAGGTGCTAAATCGTGTTTTAAACTATAAACTTTTATTTATTTTACCAGATAAGGCCCACTAAGATATACAGATCTTTTTCAGAAGCGACCTAGCCACAAATCATAGCTCAGTGAAGTGGCTTATCATGTGGAAACTTATAGACCTGTAAAAAAAATCGACACAACCAGGGGAAGAACATGCAAACTCCAAATACATAGCAGGCGTCAGGGTCAGGATCGAACCCGCGACCTCCTGTGTACCAGGCGGGGTAGTTAACATCTCCTAGCCATGGAGGCGCCCGCTGTGCTATTGGTGTCAAGCCGTGAAGCAAATAATCCATTCGGAAATATTAAAGAGCGGCGCGAATCCATGTGTCCGAGATGGGCCTCACAAGAGAATCTCAACCGAACTACTGGAATATTCTTCAAGTGGCCCTTTCATCTTTGCTCACTTTTTCACCCATTCCACCACTTAGAGTAATTTTACTCAAATAGCAGCGAAATCGATTGTTAATTCTCAGACATAGAATTTATCCAAATAAAGTACAAAACTAAATTTGTTCTTGATGGGTTAATGTGCAGCCATTGGTGACGGGGTGACGGGGCTCAGAACATCATCCGGACCGTAAAATCGGCAGAGGTGACAAAGTGACATTCCATCGTATAATTTATGAACAGCGTTCAGCCCAAGGAAGAGCACGAACGAACGTATGAACACAACAGCATAAGAAGCCGACTGACAAAGTAAGCAGCGCAGAGCCAACGGCCATCGCAAACAGCAAACACTACACAGCTTCGATTAGCACGGTTGGCTATGTAGGGTGCGAAAGAAGTTTAACGTGCATACATACAGCCCGCAGAGCGGACACAGCAGCAACCACGCATGTGGTCGCACCTTGCTGCTCCCCGAACACCTCACCGCAGCGTCTCCTTGATGACGGCCTTGAGGAGTGGCATCCGGGCCACCTCGTCAATGCCCGGCACGGCGTCACCGGGCACGACTGCATTGACCTCACGGCACAGGGCCTCCTGCAAGGCGGGCATCTGAGCCAGGTGGTAGAGGCTCCACGAGAGCGTGTTCGACGTCTGTGAGTGACCAACAGTCAACAAACAACGATAAAAACAAGGGCGGCGGTGGGGGGGATCGCACTTCACACACGGTGACGCTGACAGACTGGCCGCAAGATCGCGGCCAACTGCCGACCGTGTCAGCCTCTGGCTGTAGCCGTCCGCCTATGGGAGTCGAACGTACGGTGTCCACGCCAGCCAGCAGGATATCGGTGGTGTTGCTGTAGATTTCGGGCAGCGAGAGGCGATCACTCGCCAGCAAGTAGGTCAGGTACTCGCCGCGCACCTCCTGCCCCCGGGAGATGCAATCCTTCACCTCTGCCAGCTTGACGTTTATCAGTCGCGTCGCTGCGGTGATGGAGCCACCACACCAGCGCAAGGACAGCGGGTAGAAAATGAGGGAAACATTTTAAATATCCGTTCGACAGGTGTTGAGCTTTTCATGTTTTCCCGAAGGCCATAACGTAACGAGGCAATTCTGGGCCAATCGTTACAGGCACGAGTACCAGTAGCATTTTCTACTGTTGTAAAAAAATGGAGTTGCTCAAATGTGGACAAAATCTGATTGTAGCTGCCCCGAGTGGGCAACTGGAATAGCAACTTCCAATCAGATCACAGCGGTCCCATGACTACCAGAGGTTGTGTATTCTATAAAGCAACCATTGCTCATCAAACCCACTTTTTAACACTCTTTACATTGGCTAGACAGACCTGCGCCGCTACGCGGTACCAAGTCGCCATAGTTGCTTCATTTAAATGCTTTATCTGGTGATGTATTACCAGTGTCAAATGCTCGGGTGAGTCAAGGCCTTGAGCATTCTACTTTTGTCGCAGTGGTACGTGTGAGAAGCAGTAGGGGATAATGATGGTTGACCTAAGCCAACACATCGCACCAGTGTTGACGATGACGTCCCACCCCTGGACGAAGCGGCCCCAGAAGGGCAGGAGTGGCCGAGTCCACCGAGGCAGGGCCATCACGTGCACCGTGGTGGACAGCATGCTCTCGATGGCGCGAATGAAGTCCTGGGTCTCCTTGGGGACAGTCTCCTCGAGCGAGCCCATTCGAGTCTCAAACAGAACGGTTGTAACGCCTACCACGAACAATTGATGAGCACAAGAGGCGTTTTGTTGAAAGAAAACCAGTGGTTTTAAAGATTATTTGGTTTATTTTACGCCCATGACCGCTGGAAAAAAAAGCCAGCCCCGTTCACGATTCGTGTACCATCGACTCAGCCCGAATTCCCACAGTAGTCTCACCAGGCGAAGTGAACACCATCCCAAGGCTACGTAGCTTGGATAGGGAGTGGCACGTTTCTACCTGGACCACCCTTTCAGCCAGTTGCGATGTCACGAGTTCAGTGCGGAAGAGGGATTCGTCGCTCTTGATTTATCTGAATTAGGTCAACTTCAAGGCCGTTTTCTCATTAAAAAAACTGAAAAATTGCAAAAGTTACAGACCATCGTTTTGGACAACATTAAATAACCCAAGCTACTGTCATAAATAAACACTTGTCATTCTTTATCGCGACATCAAAAGTGCAGCCGTGCCGCTTTCGGGCTCTGCTGAGCGAGCGCACCTTCAAAGGCGAATCGGTAGAGCAGCTGAGCGACGTCCGGCAGCGGGAAAACGGCGGTAGCGGCGCCGTTCCCGCGCCTCGCCCGCACGTGCCCCATCAGCTCTGTGACGACGGCGTTAAGGGGGTCCGCAAACTGCATCACCTCCCTGGGCTTGAGCATGCGCTGGTTGAGAACTTCGCGCATGCGTTTCCAGTCGGCGCCCGTCCTGCAGGTGTTGAGATGGGAAAGGGGGGGGGGGGGGGGGCTAGTAGCTCCGGTAATTGGCCATGTGTGTGTGTTTGCATTCATCCGGAGGTGCGGGCAAAGGTGCGGACGCTGCACTGTAAACCCGGTGACCCCAGTTCGATTCCCGCTCACAGCCAACACCAATGACAATTATCTGAACCAGTCCTGGGCCTCCCCTATGTTGACTCAGCCTCAAATGAGTACCCGGTGCAGTGTGCGAACATCCCTGCTGGGGAGACAAGGGTCGTCGAGCGTGGTGCTGGCCATCCAACCCCTCGTGTACTGTGCCAGCCTTCATAGTTACTTGCCCCAAAAAGTCTGTAAAGGCTATAAGGGGACATTTTGATTTTGTCTAGGTCACGTACCTGGCATGTATGTGCACTGTACTGTGGTTGCAGTACACCGTGCATGTCTACAGCAGTGGCAGTTCTTTGGCCCCACGTTAACGAGGCAATATAGTCCAATTCGGGTTTTCCAGCTTCAAGTGATACAGAGTGCTGGTGGATTCATTCATCATTTCGAACACCAAGGCAACATTTAGTGGTGGTGGTGGTGATGATGATGACAAGTGCTGCACTTTCACCAAACCAGTGGCAATATGGTGGAAGAGCGCAGATGATGAAGTCAGAACATTCCCTTTTCTCAATGGGTCTCCTTGTAAGTCTATCCGTCTCTCTGTGGGTCTACAGGTCTCTAATAATGACGATGAAGCCATAGCCAGCACAAATCATTTGATGAATGAATCCACCCGCACTCATTATCACCTGAAACTGGAAAACCCAATGCGCTCTTTGTAGACACTGAGTACACAATAAAAAAAAACAAGACACCACTAGCATCATGGTGGACTCACTGGGTTAGCAGGCCTTTGGAATGACCCCGCATCATAAGATAATCATCCCAGGCGGACATGATTACGCGCACAGGGTAAGGTCCCTCCTGTCTCATCAGCTGTTCGATAAGGTCTGGGTCGGCAAGGCAGACGAACATCTCCCGGCCCGTGTATGAAGTCCACATGCTCCCGAAGCGCTTGTGATGTATAATCTGTTGGGTCAAACATCCCTCGTCATTGATTACTTGGTATTAGTGTGTGTCGCTCAAAGTATAAAACGATTTTCGAAACACCAACAGAATCAAGAAATATATAAATGTGTCGTTAAACCCACCACCACCCGACACGGCTAACTAGTAAGGTTTGTCACGTAAACAGAACATGCCAATTCGTCACTAGTACAGCACAGCAAACCACAACATTTACAATCTGAGCACTAGCGTTTCGCCAGTAACTACAACTAGCTTCATCAGGCGACAGCCAGACTTGTGGAGAAGTCCACCTGTTTCTACAACATAATGCTGTATGTGCATAGCTTCCTTCTACGTTGTAAAGTGCCGTCTAACCTTATAAGTTCGCAGCAAAAATTTTGCAGCCAAATATACGAGGGAAAAAAGTATTTGATCCCCTGCTGATTATGTACATTTGCCTACTGATAAAGAAATGATCAGTCTATAATTTTAATGGTAGGTTTATTTGAACAGTGAGAGACAGAATAACAACAACAACAAAATCCAGAAAAACGCATGTCAAAAATGTTATAAATTGATTTGCATTTTAATGAGGGAAATAAGTATTTGACCCCCCTCTCAAATCAGAAAGATTTCTGGCTCCCAGGTGTCTTTTATACAGGTAACGAGCTGAGATTAGGAGCACACTCTTAAAGGGGGTGCTCCTAATCTCAGCTTGTTACCTGTGTAGTGGTTGAACTTCACACGAACAACTTTTGTCTTTCTTCAACCACTTCTTTATTTTCATCGTTGACACGTCCTCCACACTCCACCGTATTCTGGACACTGCGGCTCGCTCGCCGTGCTTCGCCCGTCTCGCCCACCACCTTGGTTCCCAGTATCACGTCGCTTTGCTCCGCACACACGTCTTCAACTCCTCTTACTACTCTCTCTCCACTGCTGGCTATCCTCCTCAGCTCCTCCGCTGTACAGGGTCGTCGCACACAGCGAAACCCAATCTCACTTCTCCGTCTCCGCACACCTTGTCTCCAGCTCCTCTATCACTACGCTCTCTCCACTGCTCACTGCTCCGTCTTGCTTCAGCTTCGCTATCACTATGCTCACTCCACCGCTAACTGCTTCGTCTTTCTTCAGCTTCACTATCACTATGCTCTCTCCACCGCTAACTGCTCCGTCTTGCTTCAGCTTCGCTATCACTATGCTCACTCCACTGCTAACTGCTTCGTCTTTCTTCAGTTTCGCTATCACTATGCTCCAACTCTGTTCTAAACTCTGTTTCCGAACTCCACGTCTTCACCGCACAGCTCCCAACTCCAATCTCCCCCTCTCTCTCTGTCTCCCCCCCAATTCATCCCCATTCTCATTATCGCTAATTAATTGGTCCGCGTGCCTCCGTACGCCTCGCGTCTTCAACCACCTCCCTTTTTCCAGACACCTCGACGCCTCCTCGGCCCCAGCAACAGCACCAACCAATCACAGCCCTTCTGGCTTAATTGGCCCGACCGTTACCTCATCACCCCAGCCTCTTCACCTGGCTGTCCTAACACGACCCCACTGTTTCCGCCGTCTCCTCAGGCTGACCCCAGATAAACCCCACACTGTCCGTGTGATCAATACACTCGCGCAGTTTCCCCAGCACACCTTCCTACTCCACTACATCACCCCACCAAATGTAGTGGTTGAACTTTGTTGTATATGTGGGTGTGTGAAAATTGATGAAAAATAATTAAAATTAAATGAAATTCGAAATTTGCATAATTAATCCGAAATTATGCCAATTCGTGTACTTATGCGTGTAACTATGGTAATTAGAGAGGCAATCGTATTAATTTATACGAGTGGGTGTGGTTGTGTTAATGATAGCCTTTATGATTATCAGGCCCCGCCTCGTTGACGAGGTGGGGTTATCAATCAGGATAACGCAATCAATCGTGTGCAGTTACGCTAGTGTCAATTCGGCCTCGTTGTGTAACTTCGTATTATTGATCAGCATAATACAATGATTCTCGCTTTAACACTCCCCGAGTGTTCATATTTCAGGTCCCATGTTCATATCGTTCGCTTTAGTTTAATGAGTGTGGATTTGTGTGTTTATAGTTTAGGTTCCCGAGTTCCTATCTCGTCGCAGGATACAGATCTTATGCAAAAATTTCAGGAAAGAATCACACAACCACTTCTGTATTAATCAATTTATTTTCTAATTAAACCTTAACTATAATATGTATGTGAACTTTCAATCTCGGAACTTCAACACGGTATCCACACGGTATCAAGAAAGTATCATCAACGACTGTACAATTTCACTTTGAAACACATGCACCCCGCATAAAGCGATTGCTGTTAGTGAGAGGGAGAGTCAGGACATGCAAATGCTATGCTACACAAAAGCTTATACATTATAATATGAACGATCATTATGCTTGAAATGGTCAGCACATTATCACAGGCGATTGATTAACATGCAACGGTATTCATATAAAAAGACAATCAAACAGTTATTATTTCCAAAGGCATAAATGTAACAACAGATCCACCGGACAGACTATAAGATTACCGAAACGGCTTAGTGTGAGGGTATGCGGCGGAACGTGTTATCTCACGGGAGATTAATTAATTAATTCGTGAATAAGATTGTATGATCAGAAAATCGGTTTAGCATGATTCCTCCTCGGGAGCGTAGCTCCGTGGCGAAGGTGCCAAGGGTTAATTCGTATTGATGGATCGGTTGGTAACTTATGCGATTAGAAGTACAGTCCAAAACCAAATATTAAAGAGGGAAATTATTAATATACTTATAAATGACGGACTGTTATCACACGATCGATGCTTCCACAGCCAGATGGTTCACGGACTTGAGTGTTCGCTTCTGGTTAAGGACCTGTGTATGTTTGAGTGATATGAATTCTTTTGAATAGTCAGTGTTTGGAATTAATTCTTTGCGTTGCCATACGCTGAAGTTGGCATCGCTTGTAGGAGAAGTAGCCTCGCTCCCTTTAGAGCGGTGAGGTGTGTGGGAGTGCATCATACGTATCGCCGCCCTCCTCCACGCAGCAGCCAGCCTCTGTCCACGGGGGAAAGTTGCTTGATCGCTCTTGGTTCTGCTCAGTGGACACCTCTCTCCACTGCTGGATGAGCTGCGCGATCACGCTCGTGCTGGATCTCTGACAGCAGTTTCTCTCCGCTGTTGGATGAGCTGCATCGGCACGCTCCCTCTCTCTGGGTGGAGAACTCGAACGTGCTCATTGCTGGTTTGCTGTAAGCAGGTTTTTCTCCACTGCTGGATGACTCAAGTCGCACGTGCTCTTGCTCTGGTTTGCAGAAGCTCTTGCTTGGTGCGTCGGTCGCTCTTCAGCTGGACTCAATGTAGAATAATCTTTCAGCAATATTCTGTCTTTCAGCTCTTGGAAATCACACTAGGTGACGCCTCACTACCCTGCGAGTCTTGCCAACGTCAGTGGGTAGCGACGGGGCTACTTTGGCTTCTGCTCGCCGCCCCCTGCTCTGCAGCTCGCCGGCTGGCGACCTGTTGCTCTCATTCCCGATTGGAACTGCTCCTGAGCCGACCCACTGGTTGAACTCCCCGCGTTCCGACCTCCTCCGAGTCGAACTCCCCGAGTTCCGACCCCCCTGGTCGAACTCTTCCGAGTTGCTCCTCCGAGTCGAACTGTCTCCCGAGAGTCGACCCCCCCCCCGGTCGAACTCTGGTGAGCCGACCCCCTCCGGTCGAACTCTTCGCGTTGCTCCTCCGAGTCGAACTGTCTCCCGAGAGTCGACCCCCCCGGTCGAACTCTGGTGAGCCGACCCCCCCCCCCCCCCCGGTCGCACTGAGGTTTCAATGCTCAGGATCCTCTTTTTATGCCCAAAAATCCCTTCACTCGGATCCTGCCCACAAGGCGGGGTTTCTTTCGATTTTTGCTGTGTCAGGATTTGTCCGTATGTATCTGTGTCCGTGTGTGTCCGTACGTGTGTCAGTGTGTGTCCTTGTGCATCACCCACGGTATATTCCGTTGTCATACTCCTACCATAAAACCCACAAGTAAAAAAATCAAATGTTATAAATTGTCTCGAAGGCGCCTCTCTGTCTGGGTGCACAACCTGGAGGGAGGGGCGATATTCCCTCCGACTTTCACCGACGCACAAAGAAATGGTTAAAAAGTTTTAAGTTAACATTTCATTTCATCAGAGTTCCACAGTTATGATTCTGTATTAATCCAAGGTCTGGGTCAGCTTCCCGTTGTGGTGTTTGACTCGTGTTTCCCCGAGCGTATACACACTCCTACCCCGCGCTGCGGGGATACAAAGACGGCCGGGATCTCCCTTTCTCTCCGACCCTGGGTTTAACATCGCCCTTTGCTTACGTTGCAGTTTTGCTGTGCGCTTGCATTTCTTTTCCTTTCTACTCTTACTTTAACCCGGCTTATTATTTGCGTATGGGTGGATTAGAGCATTCATGTTGACTTAGGAAAACCTGATTGTTAGGCTTCGGGTCAAGTCGTATAGAAATTATTAAAATATGTAAATACATTTCATATTAAATTAATAGACGGGTGATGGTTACATTGACGTAGCTTGTGGCAGGGTTCAATTGAAGTGGATGTGAAGATCAATAACTTTAGCCTACCCTGTCGTTAAATTCCGACTTTAAGTTACTTTAATAGTAATGCAGAACCAATTAGCTTTTTTGACTTAACTAGATCTAGGCTAACGCAACCTCCCACTGACCCTGGCTTTGTGTTTACGTCAGCCCCTTGCAATCCGCTGCGCTCTGCTCTCTATCTGCTCCCTCTGACCCTGGGAGGGCTCTGAACGTCAAAATCGTGTTAGTGGGTCAAGGTAAATATGGCCTCCACATGCCATGCTGAGGCCTGGTTTGGTGTTTTTATTCATTGTTAAAATTAAAAGAAACAATAGAAATATGTATCTATATGTATTGAAAAAATACTTATTAATATTAAGATGGAAAGGGGGGCATATACAACATTACACGAACAACTTTTGTCTTTCTTCAACCACTTCTTTATTGTCATCGTCTAACCACGTTCTCCACACTCCACCGTATCCTGGACACCGCGGCTTGCTCGCCGTGCTTCGCCCGTCTCGCTCACCACCTTGGTTCACAGTATCACGTCGTTCTGCTCCAAACACACACATGTCTTCAACTCTTCTATTCCTACGCTCTCTCCACTGTTGGCTATCCTCCTCAGCTCCTCCGCTGTACAGCGTCGTCGCACACAGCGAAACCCAATCTCACTTCTCTGTCTCCGCACACCTCGTCTCCAGCTCCTCTATCACTACGCTCTCTCCACTGCTAACTGCTTTGTCTTCGCTATCACTACGCTCTCTCCACTGCTAACTACTCCGCCTTCTTCAGCTTCGCTATCACTATGCTCACTCCACCGCTAACTGCTTCGTCTTTCTTCAGCTTCGCTATCACTATGCTCACTCCACTGCTAACTGCTTCGTCTTTCTTCAGCTTCGCTATCACTATGCTCACTCCACTGCTAACTGCTTCGTCTTGCTTCGGCTTCGCTATCAATATGCTCCAACTCTGTTCTAAACTCTGTTTCCGAACTCCACGTCTTCACCGCACAGCTCCCAACTCCAATCTCCCCCTCTCTCTCTGTCTCCCCCCCAATTTATCCCCATTCTCATGATCGCTAATTAATTGGTCCGCGTGCCTCCGTACGCCTCGCGTCTTCAACCAACTCCCTTTTTCCAGACACCTCGACGCCTCCTCGGCCCCAGCAACAGCACCAACCAATCACAGCCCTTCTGGCTTAATTGGCCCGACCGTTACCTCATCACCCCAGCCTCTTCACCTGGCTGTCCTAACACGACCCCACTGTTTCCGCCGTCTCCTCAGGCTGACCCCAGATAAACCCCACACTGTCCGTGTGATCAATACACTCGCGCAGTTTCCCCAGCACACCTTCCTACTCCACTACATCTGTATAAAAGACACCTGTCCACAGAAGCAATCAATCAATCAGATTCCAAACTCTCCACCATGGCCAAGACCAAAGAGCTCTCTAAGGATGTCAGGGACAAGATTGTAGACCTACGCAAGGCTGGAATGGGCTACAAGACTATTGCCAAGCAGCTTGGTGAGAAGGTGACAACAGTTGGTGCGATTATTCGCAAATGGAAGAAACACAAAATAACTGTCAATCTCCCTCGGCCTGGGACTCCATGCAAGATCTCACCTCGTGGAGTTGCAATGATCATGAGAACGGTGAGGAATCAGCCCAGAACTACACGGGAGGATCTTGTCAATGATCTTACGGCAGCTGGGACCATAGTCACCAAGAAAACAATTGGTAACACACTACGCCGTGAAGAACTGAAATCCTGCAGTGCCTGCAAGGTCCCCCTACTCAAGAAAGCACATATACATGCCCGTCTGAAGTTTGCCAATGAACATCTGAATGATTCAGAGGACAACTGGGTGAAAGTGTTGTGGTTAGATGAGACCAAAATGGAGCTCTTTGGCATCAACTCAACTCGCCGTGTTTGGAGGAGGAGGATGCTGCCTATGACCCCAAGAACACCATCCCCACCGTCAAACATGGAGGTGGAAACATTATGCTTTGGGGGTATTTTTCTGCTAAGGGGACAGGACAACTTCACTGCATCAAAGGGACGATGGACGGGGGCCATGTACCGTCAAATCTTGGGTGAGAACCTGCTTCCCTCAGCCAGGGCATTGAAAATGGGTCGTGGATGGGTATTCCAGCATGACAATGACCCAAAACACACGGCCAAGGCAACAAAGGAGTGGCTCAAGAAGAAGCACATTAAGGCCCTGGAGTGGCCTAGCCAGTCTCCAGACCTTAATCCCACAGAAAATCTGTGGAGGGAGCTGAAGGTTCGAGTTGCCAAACGCCAGCCTCGAAACCTTAATGACTTGGAGAAGATCTGCAAAGAGGAGTGGGACAAAATCCCTCCTGAGATGTGTGCAAACCTGGTGGCCAACTACAAGAAACGTCTGACCTCTGCGATTGCCAACAAGGGTTTTGCCACCAAGTACTAAGTCATGTTTTGCAGAGGGGTCAAATACTTATTTCCCTCATTAAAATGCAAATCAATTTAAAACATTTTTGACATGCGTGTTTCTGGATTTTTTTGTTGTTATTCCGTCTCTCACTGTTCAAATAAACCTACCATTAAAATTATAGACTGATAATTTATTTGTCAGTGGGCAAACGTACAAAATCAGCAGGGGATCAAATCCTTTTTTCCCTCACTGTACGTGTCAAACTTTTCACGCGGGTGACGGAAGACCTATCCATTTTTTTGCTCACCAGCCATGATCAATCCACTGCTGGACGAAGGCTTCCCCAAGTCCGTCGCCATCGCACGATCCTGCGATGCAACGATCCACCGATCACCTGCGCTCGAGCTGATTTCATCACTCCATCTCCCCGACAGACGTACTCGAGCAGAACTTAATTTGAGCGCTCCCCCCCACCCCCCCATCGTCTCACGGCAAACACTTGGCGAAGTTGCGCTGACAAAGAATAGCAACCGGAGCAGCTGCTGCTGCTGCTGCTGCTGTTGCAAATGATGATTGACGATGATCGAGGACGCGTCACTCACCTGGAGCTCGTGGTACTCGCTCACATAGCCGCGGATGATGAGCCAGTAGAGAGAGGACAGCATCCCCACGCCGGGAATCTCCTTCACGGACCGAGGCTGCCCGGTCGGCGAGTCGAACTTGCCCGCCAGCTTGCCGTCATCAGCAGCACCCCTCCTCCTGGCGGTGGCCACGGAAGAGGCGCCGCTGGCCGACCTCGAGACGGCACCGCGGGAGAAGAGGGCTGTGTGCGGCGATCGCAGCCCCGCGCGGGGCACGGTTAAGGGCAGGGGCAAGCGCTGGGGCAGGGCTGCCCAGCGCACGAGAGCGCGTGGGGCTGGCAGCAGCAGCAGCAGCATCATCATCAGCAGCAGCAGTAGCTCGTGGCGAGATTCGCTCGGGTTGCCCCTGCAGAGCTGATGGCTCTGGATACGGGAGATTTGCTCGGCTCAGCCTCGGCGTCGCTGTTTCCGCACTGTAACCTTGAGAGCGCGCGTACACTTTTTACTTAACCCCTCGGCTGATGCTCTTCGTGCTGCATCGGGGGTGGGGGTGGTGGTGGGGGTGGTGGGACGCACACACAAGTTGTGGTACGAGCAATCTGTAGGGGGCGCTCCTTTTACTGCTGCGAAGGTCTTTGTCATTGCTCTATGGACACTGGATGTTGCTGTTCGCACCGTACGTAGTCAACCGCGCTAAATCGGAGGTAGCGGTGGCGGGGAAGGATAACAAAGTAAACACAAAATTAATTTCCAAAGAAATTAGTTTCAAGATATGAGTTTTCTATCTGGATCTAGATTGAATTAAATCCAGATTGAATCCAGGTTGAATTAAATCCAGATTGGATCCGGATTGAATTAAATCAAGATTGGATCCGGATTGAATTAAGTTCAAATTGTATCCGGATTGAATTAAATGCAAATTGTATCCAGATTGAATTAAATCCAGATTGGATCCAGATTTAATTAAATCCAGATTTAAAACGAATTTACAAGGATTTACAAGTGCACAACTCCAGTGGCTTCCTAACGTGTGTGTGTGTTCGAGGTCGTTCGCGGCGTTACTCCTCTTCGTGCGTGTTGCTGCTCCTCCAGAAGCTGAACTCAGTTAATATGCATCTGCGATTTCGTGGAGCGAAACGTCGGATATCGTGCCGATCAAGACGCGGTAGAGCCCGAAATCACATCGGAGAGCCAACAGAAAGCCCGTTTCGTTGTGTGGTTTGTAAGCAGCCGTAGGCATTCACGCACGGGTCCATGTGCACCTAGCCTGGCACACGACGCGGTGTGTTGACGTCGCTGCCAGTTACCGAATTGCGGCCGTTGTGGTTTTGAACGAGCGTGACGACGCATCGATTACAATCGATTCTTACGTGATTCGATATTTACCGATGTGAGTTGAGACTCCGTTTCAAGACCAGAGATCCCCCGGTATAGCGAGCGTGGTCGCCAGTGGTCACCCACACGCTCGTGTGCCGTGCCGGCCTTCGTAGGCGCTACTTGCTAACGCCACACAGTCCAGGGCTACCTCGCAGCCACAGACAAACAACATCATCATCATCATTAGACCTCCTTTGCCAGTACCAAAATGTAATAATAGGGTTTTCCCGCTTTTTTTCTGGCAACAAAACTGAAACCTTTTTACAAGGATTCATGTCTGCATTAACCACAATACCTGCAGTCAAAATGCAAACAAAAAACACACTATGATAATATATGCATTGTCCTTGAAACTGATTGGTCCACACCAAGGGACGGCTTTCTTTTGAGCCTCGACCCAATTGGTGCTCGACCAGATGACGCCAATAGGCGTATATTAAAGACAAACAACGTCTGACATTCCAGGGAGGTCTCACACGCCAATGTCATTCCCTTAAACACGGCCTGGCCCTCATTTATCTTCCGATATCAATGTCGTACAAACACCTGGTATTTGGCAAGTGTGCTGTCGTGACCTCAACGATCGCATATGCTGCGGAGAACGAGTTTCTACGAATAGTGAATAGTCTCCAAGGTACCCGTGATCATAAGGCGATGACTTACCACAGTGAGTTGTCAATTCACTCGTCTCCTCCCCACGCCGCGCCGAGGCTGTTGATGGCCTTTTGACCATACTTCACTTTGCTGGTGAGTGTGGGATTAGGGGCCGTCCATAAATGACGTCACGCATCTAGGCGGGGGGGGGGGGTGGGGGTCAGACATTTGTGACGATGTGTGACGAGGCGGGGGGGGAGTTAAGCTTTCGTGACCGCAGGGATTCATATTCTTGGTTCTTTCGGTAAAGTCACCACGTAGAAGGGAAACAATTAAATTATAAATATTTAAAATAATAATAAAAATATTTATTATTTTTTTAAATAAGAAATATTTTTATTATATTATTATGCCCCTTCTACGTGACTTTACCGAAAGAACCAAGAATGTGATGGGGGGAGGTTTGAGAAATGTGACGTCACATCAAAATGCGCAACTTTAAATAAATATAGACAACCACGTTCTACTTAATTAAATAGACTTTTTAATGTTTTCTCCTACAACATCAGAGTGCAGCGCCACATTAAATACGCACTACAATGACAATTGTTTAAAGCGATTTGAAGCATGTTTAAAACATTTTTGGGGGGGGCAGAGCTTTGTGACGTCATATTTGAGGGAGGGTGGTCTCACTTTTTGTGACGCCGTGTCACGACGTTGGGGGGGGTCAAAAATCGTCCAAAATCGCGTGACGTCATTTATGGACGGCCCCTTTAGCGCGGGTTTTGTCGTGGCCGAGAATCGAACTCGGATCGCGGGGGGGGGGGGTGGGTTCATAACGCGCAGTGTGCGTGCGTCACCACAGGCGCCACCGCTTCCCACGTGACCTCTTTGAAGGGGTCACCCCGGGCTGCGACGACGCCACGCGCGCGCATCGCGCGCTGTGACAGCCCCAGCGCTGTGGGGGGACGTGAGTGGTGTGAGTGGTGATCGCGCAGGGAATGCCGTGGGATCCACAAATAATCCGCTGGGCTTCGGGGTGGCCGGCAGATGGCGGTACAGCCCATGTGGGTTGCTTGAGAAGTGTCCGGCGTTGGCCGTGATCGACACCGTCGTTCAATTCGGATGGATGGGGGTTGTAAGCGCTGAAAGCGAACGCAGACACAGATGCATCCATCGTACATAAGCCTTGACGGACTGTTGTGGGCAATTTGCTGTTAGCGAGCACCTCCGAATGCTCATCAGCGTTGACACACACACACGTAATTCGTGAGGCCGAAAATAGATGGTGTGCCACGTGTGTTCTCGCCCTTGTAGAACATCACATACCTGTCAACCCCTTATCAGTGCCTACCTTATTCCAGACCAATACACACCTTATTGGTCACCCCGTGCCGTTAAAAATCTCAACGTTCATCCTACAAAGTCCCATCGCAAGGGAGAAACACAAACAGACTAACACATGCGTTGCCCGTGTTGAAACGGCTGTACGCCGTATGGACCTAAAAAACTCAATTTCCCTGTACAGGAATACGGGATGGGTTGACAGGGATGTAACGTCACTCACGACCAGCTCGCCGCCGTCGTTTTGTCCTCGTGATGACTTTGGCTGCTGCTGTGACGAGCACGAGGAACGTGTGCGCGTGGTGCCTTGGGAAGAGCCCCGGAATGACATGGTGCAGCCATTTAGGGTGATTATGGATACGCGTACATTGTAGTCGAGGAGTAGTAGGAATGGCGGTGCCTTGCGCCGATTATGACTACGCCAAGCCATCTTAGGGGCCGTCCATAAATGACGTCACGCACCTAGGGGGAGGGGTCAGACATTTGTGACGCCGTGCGACGAGGGGGAGGTCAACAATCGTCCAAAATCGCGTGACGTCATTTATGAACGGCCCCTTTCGCAGCGATCCGGAAAATGTCGAGGTGATAGATCAATCCCTGCGATACACGGACTGCACACGCGTGTAAAAACACGCGTGTTCGATATGGATTTAATGAGCGCACACTAAACATGGGCGGAGTTTGTCCCTCACATTCGGAATCGCAGATGCATATTATTGATTTGATCTTCAATGTAAACTTCTGACAATCTATTAATAAAGGTGCCCGGTTTGGGAGGGGGCATTTCCCCCTCCCTGTGTGCCCCCCCCCCCCCTGCAAACTCCGCCCACGAGTCACTGATCCCTGCATGTCCTGCAGTTGTCTCGTGACTCACTTCTCTCTCTCTCTGTTCCCGAGACATTCCTCTGCCGTCAGGGGACATGCCGAACGTCGGACATTAATTACCGTGATTGGCTATGACCAGCCCGCGGAGCTTATGCCAGACGTGCCGTGCAGATAGCAAAGCTATGACAGACAGCAGTACAGACAGTCGTACAGACAGTGGTACAGACAGTGGTACAGACAGCAGTACAGACAGTCGTACAGACAGTGGTACAGACAGCCATACAGCCAGCCGAGATATGACCGACAGTCGTACAGACAGCAGTACAGACACACCGTCTGTATCGCTGTCTCTCATTGCTCCGCCAGACGCGAGGTGGTTGTAATGACACGTATTGCGGTGTGTCAGTACTTACAGTGAGGGAAAAAAGTATTTGAGCCGCTGCTGATTTTGTACGTTTGCCCACTGACAAAGAAATGATCAGTCTATAATTTTAATGGTAGGTTTATTTGAACAGTGAGAGACAGAATAACAACAAAGAAATCCAGAAAAAAACGCATGTCAAAAATTTTATGAATTGATTTGCATTTTAATGAGAGAAATAAGTATTTGACCCCCTCTCAATCAGAAAGATTTCTGGCTCCCAAGTGTCTTTTAAACAGGTAACGAGCTGAGATTAGGAGCACACTCTTAAAGGGAGTGCTCCTAATCTCAGCTTGTTACCTGTATAAAAGACACCTGTCCACAGAAGAATTCAATCAATCAGATTCCAAACTCTCCATGATGGCCAAGACCAAAGAGCTCTCCAAGGATGTCAGGGACAAGATTGTAGACCTACACAAGGCTGGAATTGGCTACAAGACCATTGCCAAGCAACTTGGTGAGAAGGTGACAACAGTTGGTGCCATTATTCGCAAATGGAAGAAACACAAAAGAACTGTCAATCTCCCTCAGCCTGGGGATCCATGCAAGAATCTCACCTCGGGGAGTTGCAATGATCATGAGAACGATGAGGAATCAGCCCAGAACTACACGGGATGATCTTGTCAATGATCTCAAGGCAGCTGGGACCATAGTCACCAAGAAAACAATTGGTAACACACTACGCCATGAAGAACTGAAATCCTGCAGCGCCCGCAAGGTCCCCCTGCTCAAGAAAGCACATATACATGCCCTTCTGAAGTTTGCCAATGAACATCTGAATGATTCAGGGGACAACTGGGTGAAAGTGTTGTGGTCAGATGATACCAAAATGGAGCTCTTTGACATCAACTCAACTCGCCGTGTTTGGAGGAGGAGAAATGCTGCCTATGACCCCAAGAACACCATCCCCACCGTCAAACATGGAGGTGGAAACATTATGCTTTGGGGGTGTTTTTCTAAGGGAACAGGACAACTTCACCGCATCAAAAGGACGATGGACGGGGTCATGTACCGTCAAATCTTGGGTGAGAACCTCCTTCCCTCAGCCAGGGCATTGAAAATGGGTCGTGGATGGGTATTCCAGCATGACAATGACTCAAAACACACGGCCAACGCAACAAAGGAGTGGCTCAAGAAGAAGCACATTAAGATCCTGGAGTGGCCTAGCCAGTCTCCAGACCTTAATCCCATAGAAAATATGTGGAGGGAGCTGAAGGTTCGAGTTGCCAAACGTCAGCCTCGAAACCTTAATCACTTGGAGATCTGTAAAGAGGAGTGGGACAAAATCCCTCCTGAGATGTGTGCAAACCTGGTGGCCAACTACAAGAAACGTCTGACCTCTGTGATTGCCAACAAGTGTTTTGCCACCAAGTACTAAGTAATGTTTTGCAGAGGGGTCAAATACTTATTTACCTCATTAAAATGCCAATCAATATAAACATTTTTGACATGCGGTTTTCTGGATTTTTTTGTTGTTATTCTGTCTCTCACTGTTCAAATAAACCTACCATTAAAATTATAGACTGATCATTTCTTTGTCAGTGGGCAGACGTACAAAATCAGCAGGGGATCAAATACTTTTTCCCTCACTGTATAGAGTAACTTTTTGAGAAGGAACAGTGTGCGCGCGTGTGTGAGGCGTTATACAAACAGCGATTCAATAGCTTAACCCACGCTTAAACTTTAGTCTTCGCGGGGTAAAGCGTTATTTGCAAGTATAATAAATAGCACATTACGTTTCGTTAAGTTTTGTTAAAACAATAACTCTGCATCATTTTATTTGCAGTCGCGACCCTGAAACGCGATAATGAATCGAAGCACCGAGGGTTTGTGATTTGTTAAACCGCACACGGCTCACATCAGTGGTGAGTGATATCTGAACCGGTCCTGGGTTACCACCACTTCAACAACCGAGATTGACCGGCGTGGTGAAGTATGGTTAAACAACCATGACCGACACAGCGAGGGGATGCATGGCTTCATCGGTCAAGGCAGATTGAGAGAAGACTCGCATAGTTTTGTCGTTGAATTATTGATTTTGCTGCGTGTATGATTAAGATACATAATACTAAACAAGCCAAGCTGTTTTAAGTACGTGGGGGTTCGAGTGTATATATATACACACACACAGAGAGAGACATGCCGCGTTACGGGGAGGTCCCCTTTTAATATACCTGAGTTCACGCACGGGTTAATGGTTGAGCACAAGCATCAGGCCTTGTAGATGACAAGTCACAACTCAACATCAACACACACCGACTTGCATTTCACTACACCCCATAAGCCCTGCACACACACACACACACATATATACACACAGGCATATGACACTAAACAATGTGCGTCTGAGAGCATTACCTTCTTGAGCACCAATCATTAGCCAAGCTAATAACGGAACGCCAACGCATCACCCATGGAACCGACCATCACCACCGACTTTGGGGACATCATCGCTACCATCGGCTTCGGCAAGTTCCAAAAGTGGCTCATCTTCTGGACGAGCCTCACGTGCCTCTTTGGAGACTTCCCGTCCTTCGTGCAGGTGTTCTCGGGCTCCGCCGTGCCCCACAGGTGCCGGCCCGACAGCGCGGGCGTCACGGGCTCAGAGGGGCCCACGAACGCGACCCCGGAGCCTGCGTTCGCGACCCCGAGTGATGGGCACGGAGGCGAGCCGGCGAGCCCGTGCGTGCGTGTCCTCGACGCGAGCCTCCTCCGCCCGTGGCAGCACGGCGGGAATGTCTCGAGCGGTGGTGCGTGGAGCACCCTCGCCCCTGCTGGCGGTGGCGTTGCTGCTGATGATGATGAGCTGGGGGGTTTTGGAAACTCCAGCCAGGAGCCCTGCACCAACGGGTGGATGTACGACACCAGCCAGTATTCGTCAACCATCGTCACCGAGGTGATGCACACAACTGTCAAAAAGAGCTTTATAGCTCATCGGATTCCTCCAGTATAAATACATATTGATTATCTATGCTATATATGTCTCTCTATATAACTGTCCAGACTCATTTGTATTCGTTCACGTTTTGCCTTCGTTTATGCATCGGGTGGAGGCGGTGGCGCAATCCGCAACGCAAAGTGCTTACGTACGAACGTGGCTGCCGATGTTACATTCCATCCAGGCCACGGCTAACGTCAGTGGCGAGCGATAACTGAACGGGTCCTAGGGCACCGCCCCCCCCCACACCCCCCTTCGTTACCAACCTGCACTTGACCCAGCGGGGTGAAGTATGGCGGGTGAGACTTCATCCAGCAGCTGTGGATTGACAATGGACTGAAGGCGAACCATTGCAATGCTGTTGGTTTTTCCACGGAAGTCTGAAGCCTGATCATTATCAGGAGTGTCTTGCATTTGCGATGTTTGCCTATTACCGTTAAGGATTGTTGTGCATGCTTACCCCAGGGCAAACCCATAACTTATACTCGAAGATACAAAGACAAAGATGCCCCGTATAACCTTAACATACTTTTGGGGCGCCTGTGAAGGCCGGCACGGAACCTGAGCGGGTGGGTGGCCAGCGGCACGCACGGCCGCATTTTGTCTCCCGAGTGACGTTGTGTACACACCGCATCAGGTACTCATTTGAGGCCGAGTCGACCTAGGGGGAGGCCCAAGACCGGTTCAAATGATCGCCGATGGTGTTGGCCTCGAACTGAGTCCGCCGGGTGCGTAGTGTAGCGCGCTACATCACCGCTCCCCACGCACTTTATTGCGACGAAGTCTCACTGGAGGATAACATACACCCCGCACACACACACACATCCCCGCGCGTAGTAATTCAACAATCCATTGCTGTAGAGGACTGCTGCGATCTGGCCACCTCACGGTCTGAGCCGACAGCACTTTGCGTTTCCTGGCAGACTCGAGGATGATCGAGGTTCTCGGCGGCCTCGTGCCTGCTCTTCATTGCCGAGATCCGACGATGTAGGGCGACTTTTGTTTGATTGTGGTCGTAGACGCGATTTGCGCGACTTATAATCGAATCCCTCGAACGTTCCTGTCGGCTACATAGACAGATTATATGAATGGGATTTCTCAATGCAACGTACATGAGGACCAACGATCGATGCAAACACAACGATTGGCACGGACACAATAATATCACTGCAATTGTACAATATATACGTGCAGGACCGATATGTTTTCAACTCACGTGGAGCGGTGGTGCAGTAGTAAGCGCACCGCGCCGTGAATCCAGCACCCCCCCTGAGTTCGATACCCGGCCGCGACTATCACTAGCGGCGAATGGTGTCTCAAACGGTCCTGGGTATCCATTTAGGTGAACTCATCCTTCAACGATTAGCCGCATCGGCACGTCCGATTAGCGAGGTTGGCTACCTATACGGTGCGAAATACGTTCGACATACATACCGGAGATATAAAGGCGGCCGGGCGTGGTGCTGACTTCGCGTACCATCCCGGGCATTAACCGGTGGTCGCAAGCAGCTCTCGTCTCGGCAGCCGAATGGTAAATGACGGATGTCTCCGTTTTCTTCTCGTGCCTTCGCGTGTCTGTGTGCTAAGTTTGACCTGGTGTGCGAGCGGAGGTGGCTGAACGAGATGTCGCAGGCGATGTTCATGCTGGGCTTTCTGCTCGGCTCGGCTGGTGGACCTCTCTCCGACAGGTGGGGGGGGGGGGGAATCGCTCCTACGGTGCCACAGTTTGTCGGCAGAGCCACTCAAGAAAATACCAAAACCCCCACAGGATGGCGACGATTGGGAATCACGCGTTACACGCGTCGCCGAATCACCACCGATGTGTTGAATCTCGCACCTCCGATCAACACGGTTGGCGGCGTACGGTGCGAACGAAGTTCAACAAACATCAAACCTGCATTGAAACATCCCGAGGGTTTTTCTATAGGCCAGACCACAGTTCACATTTTTTTTTGCTGTCAAATATACAAACACAATTAAGAAGCTGTGTTGACAGTTAAGTGTGTACAGCCCTTTGTCAATCCACCGCTGGATGAAGGTCCGCCCCACCACGCTATCACTCATGGAGGCTGTTTGACCATACTTCTCCACGCTGGTCAGTGCGGTACGGCAAGGAGAGTTTGTGGAGAGGTAATTGGTAAAGCCGCAGCATCAGTATGCGTTTACATAAGTAATTTTGCCGAAATAAACATAACCTCTGCTCTTTAGCTTTATTTTAGTTCGCTTTATGATTCGTGTTTCGCGTTTTAAAGGCGAAAACTGACGTCACCAAGGTTAATTAAAATGGGAGCTAAATTTTGATTTAAAGCTTTCGTGACTGCAGTGATTCATATGCTTGGTTCTTTTTATTTTATATATTTTATTATATATATTTTATTATTTGATTGTTTCCCTTCAACGTGACTTTACCGAAATAACCAAGAATATAAAATGGGAGCATTGGCATCGGGCATTTGTGGTGGTGGTGGTGAAACATTCGAGGGAATTCATTTATTTAAAAGGTCGTGTGGGGTCACGCTGAGGGTTAGCGAGGCGGGGGGGGTCGCAGGACCACATCAAAGATAAATAATTAAAGAGCACGCTGGTAACAAGGGCGAGAAAAAAAAAGAAAGCGGGGGCGGGGGGGTGCTGGAGGAAAGCCAAAGAAGATACTCAACTGTATATTGAGCGGGGAAAACAATGAGAAAGAGGCGTGACTGGGAGGGATTTTGTGGAAGGTTCCAGAAGGTGGGGAGTGAGAGGATAGATAAGGGGGGGGGGGGGGGGGGGGGGCTGTGGGTCAGGAGCTCCGGGCTCCCGGAGAAAAATAAGTTGCTCAAGTAACAGCCTCCTACGGAAGTGTGTCACCGAGTGGTGTGTCACCGAGTGTGTGGGGAGCGGTGGTGCAGCGGTGTTGCCACACTACGAACCCGGCAGAGGGCCGAGTTCGAGTCCCGCTCACGGCCAACACCGGTGACGATTATATGATCGAGCCCTGGGCCTTCCCCTAGGTCGACTCAGTTTAAAAAATTGAGTACCTGGTTCAGTGTGGAAACATCACCACTGGGGAGACAAAGGCGGCCGGGCGTGGTGCTGGCCACCCACCCCCTCGTGTGCCGTGCCGACCTTCGTAGGTGCTCGCAAACAGCACTCGCCCCAACAATCTGTCAAGTCGATACGGGGGATCTTTGTCTTTGTTACCGAGTGTGTGTTTTCGAAACAATAAATGTCTCTTCCCTTCCCAGTACGACTCGTGGGGATTACCTTTCGTGGGGGGCACCACAGCTAAATCGCACCCCACCTTAAACTTAATCCAGCCACGGGCGTACTGCGAGTTGAATGATGTGACACGTGGCACGCGTGTCTCACCCATTCGCAGGTACGGACGGAAGGGACTTATTGTCGTGGCCATGGTCTGGCATTTTATTTGCGGACTCGGCAGTGCGTTCTCCCCGAACGTCGCCCTTTACATCGTCTTCCGCTTCGGAGTGGGCCTCGGCATGTCGTTCATCCTCGGCAACCCCATCGTGCTCAGTGAGTCTCACGTTCGCGAGTTCGTTAGGCGCTCCATTGCTACGCATTGTCCGTTGACCCATAACGGTCTACCCGTAGTATTGTACGGGGAAATTGAGTATAAAAAAAACATGTTTCGTCTGTCTGTTTGTGTTTCTCCCTTGTGATGGGACTTTGTAGGATGAACGTTGAGATTTATAAAGGGGCACGGGGTGACCAATAAGGTCTGAATTGGTCTGTAATGAGATAGGCAGTGGGGTTGACAGGTATGTGTATGTAGCCGGTCCGCTCTGCCCCCTCTCCTCCCATCGTGAATCCTTTCGAGGGGGGAGACAGGTCGTCTAAATAGACAACAACAATAACAACAAAAACAACAATAACAACAATAACAACAAAAACAAAAATAAAGTTTGGAGACGAGGAGTAGACCGGTGCGTTGTGTTCTGTCCTCTGGAGAAGTGGGCGACTCGACAACATCTGAACACCAGGGGGCGGGGGGGTGTGAGACGGCACTTTATTTCAAGAGTCCTGTTCGGAAGGTCAATTTTGTATCTGCAATAGCGATCAGAGATACCCTCCACGTCACAACGCCGCAGCTGAATTCTTCGGTTCAGAAGAGAGCTAGAATCAAGATGTGGGGCGTGCCTCGTACACCGCTGTGCACGTGTTGACTCGGGGGTCCAATCTCTGATCACCACTTGCCTGTTCTTAAATAATAATAATCATGAAACGCACCTGGCTACCCCTAGCTATGCAAAATAGCTAATTAGGTTCCCATAGGTGAGCTCACACCGGCGGCATGTACAACGCACAGACAGACCTCTGTTAATCGACTGCTGGATAAAGGGCCTAACCCTACGCCCACCGTGTGGGGTCACGGGCAGGGTTCGGAAACCAAAATAACAAGAGGAGACTTTTGGGGGGGGGGGGGGAGGAGGGGAATTCGCTAACACCCCCCCCCCCCCACAATATTTCAAGGGCCGCAATGCACTGTGGCGAATACCAGACGGCGGTTGGTCCTTAATAAACAACGTCACGAAGCAGTCCGCAAAGAGGCGCGTGCGGTTTTGGAGCCGCAGATTTGCCGACCCTTGGGTCACGGCATGCCGGATGTATATCCTAGGAGTAAAAGTAGCTACTATAAATGTAGTAGCTACGGGCCCCGCACTTTCAAGGGCCCCGCGCGAAATACTTTCAAGCTATCAATTCCGGTTCAGTGATTCTGCACTTACTCTATTACTATAGTACTATACTGCCTTCGACTTTTATGAACGACTGGGTCTTTAAGTTTAGCGATGTCGTATTATCTGGCTCTATAGCAAATGGGAAAAATACAATAACTTTACTATGCAAGTAAAAAAATGTGTTTTCATATTTATGTGTTTTTTTTTATTTTATTTGGGGCCCCCTTTATAACATATGTTACAGGGCCCCATCCACCCCTTCCTTCGTGTGCTGTCACCGGTCTCCATAGGGACTACTCGCTAACAGCACTTGCCCCAACAGTCTGTTAATGCTATACGGGGGAACCACCATTTATCGTTCTGCGTGCAGTCATGGAGTGGTGCAGCACGTCCAAGAGAACCCTGGCAGCATTGGTCCCCCAGGGCTCGCGGGGCATGGGGCAGGTGCTGCTCGCCACGCTAGCCTACTTCATCCGCGACTGGCGAATGTTCCAGCTCGTTGTCACCATCCCCCCGTTCGTGGCCTTCATCGTCTACTCGTGGTGACCGCGACGGCACCACACACACGCGGGTTCATCGACCTGCCGCGCGACGAGGGCCTCCCCATGCCGTGCAGGCTGCTCGTCATGTTCATGTTGATAATGCCGATGCCGTAATTGATGGTTGGTGCTGCATGAGGAGGACTACATAGCTGTCAACCCATACGGTTCACCCGTGTTGTACAGGGAAATTGAGTTTTCAGGTCCATACGGCGTACAGACGTTTTAGTGCGGGGCATTTTTTTTGTGTCCATTTCTTTGTGTTTTTCACTTTGTAGGATGAACTTTGAGATTTATAAGGTCACGGGTGACCAATAAGGTATTAATCGGTCTGTAACAAGATAGGCACCGATAAGGGATTGGCAGGGATGTGACTATGACGGAGGTCATTCTGCTGCGGCTGCTGCTGACGACACTGCTGAAAATGCTGCTGGTGCTGATGAATGATGATGATGATCCTGCTGCTGATGCTGCTTATAATGATATTGACACTGCTGAGAATAATTTTCCGACTGATTATGCTGGCGTAGATGATGACATCGCCAACCGTACTAATCTGCACCTCCGATTAGCAAGGTTGGCTACGTGCGGTGCGACGTTCAACGTACATGCATGCAGAGTTGTTGTTCATAATGATGCTGGTGCTGCTGTTACCGATAACGATGTTGACGAGGGCATTGCCACTAAATGACGTGGACGCCGATCACGTGGCGCGGCAGCATCGTTCCCGAGTCGGCGCGGTGGCTGTACACGAGGGGAGACCACGATCGCGCCAAGGAGCTCATCATGGAAGCGGCCAAGCAGAATGGCGTCACGCTACCCACACACATGGTGGACACGGTGAGAATGTTTTGGCCACCCGAGATCTTCGCTGCGCGCCGCGGTTTCCAGGTATCGATTGGGGCAAGCTCGCGTGTGTTGCTTTATTGGGGTATAATTTTTTTCAGCCCCCTCCCCACCCCATCCCGACGCATCCCGATGTGTTAACGGTGTCACGTCACCAAGTAAATAAGTCCCTCGGAAGTCTCGCAAAGTCGTTGCACTCCTTTTGTGTCAAGAGAACGACCGTGGGGTAGATCTTTCACTCGACTCCTGCCAAAAAAAAGTCCTTCAAGTGGGCGCTTTATCCTCCGCGCAGCAGAGTGTGCAATTTCCCACACACACTGCTATGAGATTGATTGCCTCATGATAGTCAAAGCGATATTGTTAATACTCAGAGCTGGAAAGTGAAAAATTAAACGAATACGTACATTGAAATACGAGGTTTTGTTGGTGGGGTCTTTGGTAACTGGGTTGAGACAATACATTCGCAACTCTCGATGACCTATCATTATCACGGGTGGCTGGAACCCAGATGTGAACTCAGGCTATCAATGCTCGTCATTCACTCACCCGTGTTAGCCCCCGTGAGCCTCCTGGTCACTCAGTTTTAGTATCATCGATGGATACAACTGCAGTGAGGATTTCCATGACTTAACTTTGATCCCCATGTCTAACATTCAAATTTTGTTGGTCCCCTGGAAACTCCACCATTAGAACCTCCTTTGCCAGTAGCAAAATATGATAATTGTTTTTTTTACCCTTTTATCTGGCAACAAAACTGACACCTTTTTTTTACAAGGAGTCATGTTTGCATTGACCACAATACCTGCGGTCGGAATGCAAACAAAAAACATAACTCTGATAATGTATGCACTGTCCTTGAAATTGATTGGTCCACACCCGAGACAGCTTTCCTTAGAGCCCAGTCTCACGTGGTGTTGGACCAGATGACGCCAAAAGACGCACGGGTGTAGACCAATACATTTCAAGGACAGTGCATACATTATCAGAGTTATGTTTTTGTTTGCATTCCGACCGCAGGTATTGTGGTCAATGCAAATATGACTCCTTGTAAAAAAAGGTGTCAGTTCTGTTGCCAGATAAAAGGGTAAAAAAACAATTACCCCTGGAATTGTTATGTCAGCATTTCACTGCGAATGTAAATTTCGTTATCTAATATGTGGTGCCTTGGTGTATATTATACATGCCTATAGTTGTATGCACTATCTGTTTCTATCTACTCTATCGGCAGCCTCATTTTTTTCACGTTTACTTTTCCCCCGTGTTTTTCCTTGCTATTTGTGTTAGAAAAGAGGCTCGCAATATCAGCATGTTCCCATTCGGCTAAAGGACCATTTGAAGGTGTCCTTGCAGGACCTGCTGCTTGTCATCTCAGTATTCACGAATTAAAAGGCCGCGCAGATTACACACGCGGCATATAAATAGTCACCCTTGCTCGGTATTGTTGGTGGAGTCTCACAAATGCTTTATCGGGTCGATAACTTATTAATACGGCGCCGAAATTCTCCGGGCTGGACCAGTTTACTCCGGCGCCGGGCTCATCTACGTGACCCGACAATCATTAACACACTTGCACATCGTTCAAGAAAGCCACCGTCCCATAATGTCACTCGTAGCACTTGCAACATTTTGACTACCCCGGTAAGGGCACCCGAATGTAAAGCAATCGGCGGCTTCTGAGTCAGGTAGTTTTCACTGGTCTTGGCAATAGCATTTACCTATGGAAGCAGATTCCACTTTCAAGCCGTTTGTCAGAGTTGCTGATCTCATGCCTATTCACATTTACTATCGGTATCAATGACAAACGAATGGCCAACGTGCTGTCGGCGTTACTAGGAGTTAACCTCCCAAACCAAAAAGCCTTAACGATTCCCTCTCATCTACATCTACTCCCCTCCACGCGCTGCCTTCTCCAGCAACACAGGGCTTGCTGCTGGAGCCCCCCAATTAATTTTAGGTCAAAGGGAGGTCACTTTTATCTGCCACTGTTCAAGTTTAAGCTCAAGACTTTATTTGTTCTCTTGCCCATCACTGCCTGCCTCTCCCTCAAAAATGAAAATGCCAACTCTGTATAGCGTTTTGAAATGCGGCCGCTTTTAGATGCTGAACAAAAATATTCATCACTACAGATTCCAATAAACTAGACAAGAAACGACTGTATTCACTCCCCCCCCCTACTTCCTGGTGATTTAGAGTCACAAGTGAATCCTGTCTGCCTGCGTGCGTGGGCAGCGGTAGTGTAGTGGTCAGCGCGCTGCGCTACAACCCCGGCGACCAGAGTTCGATTCCCACCCACAGCCCACATTGGTGACGAATATCGGAACTGGTCCTGGGCCTCCCCTAGGTTGACTCGACCGCTAAAATGAGTATCCGGTGCGATGTGTAAACATCGCTACTGGGGAAACAAAGTGTGCGGCTGGGCGCGATGCTGCCCCTCCCCCCCCCTCGTGTGCCTCGCTAACAGGTTAACAGCATATTCTTGGTTCTTTCTAGTAAAGTCACGTAAAAAAAGACATTTTTTGTATTTAAAATTTTATTTTATTTAAACATTGATTTTTTGTTTTCTATTTACGTTACTTTACCAAAAGAACAAGGAATATGAATTCCCGCAGTCACTAAAGTTTTAAGTCAAAAAAAGGGAAACAGCACTTGCCAAAACAGTCTCAAATGTCGTACTACTCACGTTGTAAATGTTGCGGATTTACTCTCCAACACACCGGTGGGCTGAATTAGTTACTAATCGGCGTTTGGTTTACGTGACAAGTCCCTTATTAATTGGCTGTCGGGTGGTGGAGGGTTACGAGACATTTACACTTACGCCATCTAACCCAAAAACCTTTATTATTCATAATATTGGTCGCGAAAGCTTACTACGTGTTAAACAAAACAGTCTGTTGAGGCGACACGGGGGATCACCGTCTTTGTGCCTCCCTGCTCCAGCTGTCAATGGAGAAGAAGAAGTCCCCGAAGTCCGCGCTCGACCTCTTTAGAACGTTCCACATGCGACGTCTCACCCTGACCATCCTCTACCTCTGGTAAGATGTCACAGTCAAATTTAGGAGGGTAACAAATTCACTCCCCCACCCACCCAGCCTCCCCCCCCCCGCCCCAGGGGCTCTCGTCTGCCTCCACGTCCCGACATTCGCCGCACGACGAGACGCTCCGGGAAAATAAAACGCACTACAGATGTGCGCGTTGTGGTCAATAAAGTCGTACGGGTCTGGTCGCACACCTACGCACGCACGCACGCGCTGGATGACAAGACGCACCTCTGACTATTGCTTTAAATTACGGGGGGGGGGGGGGGAGTGTGTCATAATTTGGAGAATGCCTAAATCGTTCCAAGTCAAGAGTCGTGATTAAAGTTAAAGAATCAACTTTATATATTATTTGTATCCTTGCGAAGCGGCCTCACGGGTCACGTGAACCCATTATTCCTCCCCATCGTCATGTTAGTTAACATTCTAATTATTATAGTTAGCTTAACATTGAGCAAAAACCTTCCCAGAACTAAGTTTTGTTTTCGTCACGTGTATTATGTACCTAGTACGACGTCGAACTTATTTCGCACCGTACGTGTCGCCGAGACAACGTCTGTCTTTGCAAGGGTGACCTAAGTGAACAAGCGATAATAACATCCTAATAAATCATTACATATATAGTGGGGGGGGGGGGGGGGGGGGGCAGTCGCCTAACACCCCACAGCTTAGAGGCAATAATAAGAGGGAACACGATTGTGTTTTTTATCATGGTTGCTGTGCACTGACCCAAAGGACTCACATGTCAAGGGGCCCAATCAGCAACCGGCGCTGTTCATGAAATGAAAGATGACCGTGAAGACATTCCTCAATTTGAGCAGTTATAGGAACCGCGGGGGGGGGGGGGGGGGGGGGGGTGGTGAGAGACCATGGGGGAGGCAATTCCAAAGTTGGACATTGAGAGGAAACAAGCAGAGAGAGAAGTGTTGTGACCTTCAATGCGGGTGGTGGTGGTGGTGGTTGAACATCGTGGACGAGATGATACAGTCAGCCAGTCTGGTAGACCGAGTCTTCAACGTGGCGGTAGTAATCGATGAGTGAGCTTACATGGGAACGGTAGCGAAAGATAGTAGCGATAGAAGAGTGATGAGGAGGTGGGTGACTGGAGTGAGGGTGATGATGGATATCACGAGCAGAGGAGACAATAACCAGGAAGAAAAAAAAACTAAATAGTTTATTTCTGTATTGTTTTGTCCGTCTGCTGAAGCATGAACCTCTCTGCAGGTTGATGGTGAGCATGTCCTACTACAAACTGAGCCTCAGCTCCACAGGATTTGGCCTCAGCATCTATCTCACCCAGCTGATCTTCGGGGTCACCGAATCGCCGGCTCGCTTTTGCCTGCCGTGGTTTCTGGAGCGGTTCGGTCGCCGGCCGTGCATTTTCACCGTCCAGTTCGTCGGGGGCCTGGCCTGCGTCATCCTCGCGCTCATCCCTGCCGGTGAGAGGCCGCCGTGTCCAAGTCTTCGGCGTCGATTTGCCACCACACTGGTCACTGTGGGTTGTTGGTTGTTGAAGGTGGATGGGGGGGGGTAGTGCCCCAGGGACTTCCAGGTACATTGCAGAATGCGTTAACCACTGCCCCGCCACTCTCAGCCTTTTTGCGATTTGCAACACGATAAACGATCTTTCTTCGCCATACTCTCATGCGTGGAAGCCACTGCCCCACAACATCACCACGGATAACGTCGGGGACCCCTCCCATCCTGCAATGGAACCAACTGTGCCGACGGAACGCGTGCCGTTGTGGTCGTGCTTGTGGTGGCGATGGCCGTGATTGTGTCGGTGCGGTGGCATTGGACAGACCTGCGAGTGGTCACCACGGTGGTGGCGGTCTTGGTGAAGACGTGCATGGCGTGCGCTTTCTCCGTCCTCTTTGTCTACTCGACAGAGCTCTTCCCCACCACCCACCGGTACGAGGGGGGATCCCCATAGACAGCCCCGCGAACAAAGCACAACGATCGCGCGCCCCGTCTCGTCGGATGTCAGGGTTCAGCTTTCTTTGGTGCCTTTGAACGGGAGTCCACACTAGCATCGGCACGAACACGTGTGGGGTGCACATGCGATGCCGCCCTTTCTTGTAGACCAAGCATTAAATTTAGATTTAAAGCTTTCATGACTGCAATAATTCATATTCTTAGCTCTTTCGGTAAAGTCACGTTGAAGGGAAACAATAAAATATATATATAAAACAATAAACATTCTCACGACGTTTCGACCGTTTGTGTTATGGTCGAAACGTCGTGAGAATTTTTGTTCTATATATTTTATTATTTTATTGTTTCCCTTCAACGTGACTTTACCGAAAGAGCTAAGAAGACCAAGCATTGTTCATCAAACACGATAGATTTAAAAAAAAACCACCATTGTTCCTGGCTAGACACGACTCCGTCACTCCATGCCGTTGTCGTACCAATTTGCAATGGATGCTCAGAGTGAACACGTTTGTTGCCTGTAAATGACCCAAGTGTGTTATAGGCTACCGCACAGCGACTTTGTGGGTAGAATAATTTAGCGCAGCAAAACATATTGCATTGTACTTCTATGTCCCCATGTTTATGCTGCCCGTGCCCTCACACACCGGTGAGGGCCCTCATCCAGCATTCGGATGAGAACTGATGAGGGCTGTTCATATACACGTCACGTAAACAGCAATGTTTTCCACCAGACGCACCGTTCCATTGACAGTGTGTGCGCGCGCAATGCCGACTGCGCGCAGGTGTGCGAGCGTGGCCCCCCTACACGAGCGTGGCCCCCCTACACGAGCGTGGCCCCCCTACACGAGCGTGGCCCCCCTACACGAGCGGCCGAGTTGCCCCAGACCGTTGACGTCCTCTCGACAGACAAAACGGACTGGGAATGGCGGCAATGTCGGGCAGCCTGGGTGGAATTCTGGCTCCCATGGTGTCCCTTCTCGGCGTCTACCACCGCGTCATCCCGCTCACGTTGGTGGGCGCCGGCGTGCTCGTCAGCTCGCTGCTCTGCCTGTCGCTGCCGGAGACCAGGAACGTCAAGTTGCCCGACGTTCTACCGACCAAAGAAGACCTGGCGCGCAAGTACGTGTCCGACAATATTTTTTGGGGGGGGGTTTTAACACCTTTTGCAAGTTTGGATGAGCGTCACAAAAAAGTGTCACCGGGCGAATGTCGCCGAAAACGCCGCGACCGTGACCTCTGGGTATGACGATAGCGTCGCGCGACGGAGTTATGTCTCGTCGACGACAACGGGGTTTTGTTGAAAAGTGCTTTTGATGGACAATCATTTTGCTCTACAGAGCAACTTACCGTGGGTAGCTTGACGACTTCTGGCTTTGACCTGAATTGTACTTGCCATTCCATTTATCCATTCGGGGTAGCAGCTTTTCATATTTGCCTGGATGGACACAGTACTCTGTGCATATTGCTCACTTGACCGCGTGCCTGTGTCTGGTGTCATGTAGGGCCAAGTTGAAGAAAGCAGGAGCGGCGCAGAATGGCACGGCGAAGGGCAGCCTCAACGTCTTCACTACGAGACTCTAAGTGGAGCGAGGGGCTACAGAGGGAGTGGTGTGCGGTGGAAGTATACAATGTACCATTCTTTTAAAACGTGAACATAGCTGTCAGTCGGTTGATGTTTACAGACTCAACAATGCTTTGGCACCGTCTGCTATGAAACTGTGCAATTTTAACAATTTGTCCAATAGACCTCACGATTTAAAATAAAATAAAAATTACGCTTGATGTCGAGAAGTGATATTTTTTTCCCCCCGTGTTTTGTTTTACCTACGAGGTTTAATTCCTCTGCCCAATTCTCGTACTGTTGGTACATGTCATCAGTGTCGTTTTTATTTGGAATTCCGGCACCTTGCTAGGGTGTGGCCGTGGAAGATGATGAAACAGAACTACTTCTGATTCACTTCAAATCGGCTTTACAAACCACACGAGCGGCGAACCCTTTCACGCGCTGTGCCCTGCAGAGCGCGTGCGTCACACCGTCAGATCTGTAATTTTTTTTGCCAAATTAAATCGACAATCCGCGTTAAACACGATTGTTTGCCGCGCGAAAAATTGGAGACCACGCCGAGACCATCGGCTCAATTCACCCTCGGACCCAGTTTTGACCACGGGTGGATGGAACCAGATTGTGGGAAACGAGCCCAGCGCTGCCGGCTCCAGGCCTTGGACCGCTGAGCCGCCAGGCCACTGAACCACTGAATCGGCTTGTTCTATAAATACGTAAGAACATTGATTACGCATTAACAAGTTGGGGGGGGGAAATTCTAGCTGCGTGTATGGATTATGTAAGGCTGCAATAAGGCAGGTCCCTGATAGCAACGACTCTTGCACTGAGGGTTCATTCGTACAGGATCATCTTTACAAGAGTTATCGTGATTTAAAGCTTTCGTGACTGCAGGGATTCATATTCTTGGTTCTTTCGGTAAAGTCACGTAGAAGGGAAACAAAAAATAATAAAAATATAAAACAATAAAATTCTCACGACGTTTCGACTGCAACACAAGCAATCATCATCAGGTGTGAAAACCACAGCAATACATTTTTTTCAAATGTTTTCATTTTCTTGCTGTGGTTTTCACACCTGATGATGATTGCTTGTGTTGCAGTCGAAACGTCGTGAGAATTTTATATTTGTATTTTATTATTTTGTGTTTCCCTTCTACGTGAATTTACCCTCCGTCCCCCCAATTATGTACGGACAGATGGGCAGGCAGAGCTTAATGAATAAACGTGGTCAACCTTGGTTGAGTAAATGTGGCCGGCCACGTGGAGTCAACGTGGTCAACGTTGAATAAACGTGGTCTGCCTTCGCTGTAAAGCCTTAAAATCCAACAAGAGACTTCTGAAGCGTAGAGCACCATTTAACCCCCCAGGCGAACTCGGGTTGCCAGGTCCACAGAGTGCAGTGTGCAAACTGATGCGTCCCACCCACTGGTGATTAATGGAAAGTATTGTTTTAAAGGCAGTTTAAAAGAGTTTATTATCAGCAAGGAGAAGAGGAGAGTTGGGGGGGGGGGGCAGGACAGATGATCCATCGAGGTCACGTGCTTGAACCGTTGACGGACGCCCCTCGGTTCGACTTTCTCAGCGATATTCGCCATTGTCGCCGTTGCGCGTATGATTAACCGGGCAGTTAGCGCCCCGCCGAAGAGCCTTGCCGGACCAATCTCAGCAACGCCTGCCCCGTGTTTACACCTTGCACCGAGACACTCCCCTCTGTGTGGAGTTAATGAAGAGATATTCCGCCCCCCCCCCCCCTGGTTTGAGGTTAATTAATGAAAGAAGAGAAACACCCCTTTGGTTTAAGGGCCACCTGTAATTCCGGGAACGCATCGCAAACACACGCGCACACGCAAAAAGAAAGGCAATACATTGCCCATTGCAATTTGCTCAACAACGTGCGCATCCCATGAACATTCCGGCAGGGCCGTGGCAAGAAAGGGGCGGGATTAGGGCGGCTGTCCCTAAGTGCCCTGGCCCGGGAAGAGGGCGCCTGCATCGCGCGCTTTCAGATGAGCTTCTGCTGCCGTCTGGAACGCTCTTCCTTCCGATATCACTGGAGCTACGCACTTTGAAATCTAAAAATTGCAAACTCCCTTCTTTAAAGCACTGCTCTTTGTCATTTTTTTTGTTTGTCGTCATACCCCCGGCACCTCCGATTTAGCGCGGCTGGCTACGTCGGAAGTCCAACATCACACGTACGAATGTGAAGACGAATTGTCCGGAGCAAAGGGAGCTGTGGCGCGCGCGGCTGGTGGCTTGTGTTTGTTGGGAGCACTGCATGCAGCAGCTGGGCGAGTGGAGTGGGGGGGGGGGGCCTTGCACACCACGTGCACTCCTAGCCAGACTCCTCCTGTGTGTGTGGGTTGTACACGAGCACCCGCGCATTGACAGGACAACGCGGTATTGTCGCACCTCCGATTGAAAGTTCAACGAACGTCCGTGCAATTGTTCGTAAACATTCAACGTTGGGCCAATGTTACTGGGTTTGCCCCTTTCACCGCATTTCACGATCGTCGTTATGTCACGAGACCAAGCATCCAATTCAGACCTCTCCCAATGAAGTGGTAGAAAATACTACCTGGCGATGGACATCGCGGAATGACCTCGGAGATCCGTGAAAGCGACCTCTGATAAAACCCAGTAGGGTGCAGGACTTTCCACACACACCCTGCCACACAGAGTAGCGATCACCGCAAGGCACTCAAGCCGATATTTTAAATATCAGAGATGTGATTTTGGGAAATTAAGTGCCTTACCAATTAATTTCACGCCATGTTTTTTGTTTGTGCAGCCATTGGTGGGGACTGGGACCGAGACCAATCAACTTGCTACACTTGAGAACTCTGTTTAGGAAACAGGCGGCTGCCACCTGGATTTGAACTCAGGATTCTCAGCAGTGGCGGCTCAAGGCTCTAAACTCTGAGCCACATAGCCACCTTTTTTTAAATTTCCCCCCGCATTCGGATATACCGGTGCATTCCGTTACGACTTGTATGTTCCATTAAGATACGTTCGCATCCCCCACCACACGAAGGAAGAGATCATCACGGTGCTGTGTATAAAGAAACATGTTTATTTAATACTGCGTGTTGTAAAGCAAAGTCATCATTGTTCCTAAGATATCTTGCACATGCTAACGTTAAGATTACCTTTTTTTTTCCTTCCCGGCACTAAATTTGTGCAACGTTTACAAACTGGGTTTAAAAACGACAAGCGTGAGCGCCATTGAACGACAGAAGCCTGAAAATCCACACACACCGTTGCAATTCATGCCGGGGGAGGGGGGGGGAGGGTCGGGGGAAAGACAGTGCACTCCAGGTGCAAAGACTGCAAACGAAATCCCAACTAAAAGAAGCTACGTACGTACAAACCCCACAATAGACGGCCGAGTGACGACACCGTCCTCACCGGCGTCGTTTCACGCGGACGTGTGGATCCCGGCGCACGACTGCGAATGGCATATGCACCTTCCCATGGAAGAAGCCGATCGGTCAAAAGAGTTTAAAAAAAAAAAATTAACATTGCTGTAAAAGGCCTCATCGTGAAAGTAAAATTCTTTCATTAAAAAAAGATTAAATATGGACCCTGCTGCATTTTCAACATCTTGTGGGACAAAGAAAATAATTACGACAATTATATTGAGAATGTGACTAAATATTCGTAAGCCATTTACCGTCAATGCAATCACGGATTAAAAACAAAGCGGTAAGATTTTTTTTTTCCATAAAAACATTACCATCATCATTATCATCACTTGTAATGAACTGCGAGCATCCACCTCGTAAGCGCCGACGAGCTCCGTCGACGCGACAAGCCAAGCGGGGAACAATCGCGACGTCTGCCCGCGGTGCCCACCCTGAGATGACGACATGATCAGAAACACCGTACAGGCTCGTCGAGGCGCTGGAAACGACGGCGACGGTGCGATGCAGGGCGACGCTAGTCTTCCCCGAAGCCGTTATTCTCCACCGCCTCGACGCCATCAACCGACTCGTACATCGGCGAAGACGGATCGCCGTCCCGCGTCTCGCCCGCAGACATTTCCGGATCCTCGATCTCACAGTCGTCAGGCTCGCACTTTCCATTCCGGGCGCCCAGAGGGGAGGCCTTGTCGCATTTTTTCTGCGCGCCATGATCGGAGGGGCTGCTGGAGGCGCCGTCTCGCACCCTGTAGGCACCCCCGTCTTCCGCGATCTCCCTCAGCTTCCCCACCATCTTGCTGAAGATGCCGGAGGGCATCTCTTCGTCCAGGATCTCGTACTTGACCTGGCCCGCCTTCTTGGTGTTGCTCTCGGTGCTCTCGCAGTATCTGTGAATGGGCAGGTCGCCGATCTTCTTCATCGTGAGCGTGGGTGACAGCGGAGGCTCCGTCTTCCTCGCTTCCCCCTTGGGAGGCCACGTGGGCTTGACGATCTTGATGTCCTCCTCCACGGCGGGAGCTTTCTTCCCGGTGGTCTTCTCCGGCGGCCAAGTGGTCTTCAATTTGGACTTCTCCACAATTTCGCCGGACAAGTCGACCACTCGGCCGCCCGAGCTTGGCGAGACGTCGGGATTTTGGAACGACCGCTCCCTGGCGTGTACGGGCGACGCCTTGCCTGGCGCGGGCTCGTCCGCGTCTTCGGTCGAATCTTTGGGGAGCGAGCTCCGGTCGGCTCTGGCGGGCAGGTCAAGGAGGAGGGGTTTCTCCGATTCCTTGGGAGGCTCGGCGAGAGAATTCTGCAGCGAGCGGGGAGCAGCGTCGATGTCGTCGTTGTTGTCGTCGTCACGCGGGGGATCATCCTCGCCGGCCGCGTCGCCGGAGTACGAATCGGAGGATGCGAATTTGCCGGGGGTCTCCTTTTGGGCCCAGAGATCCTTGTGTGGCTTGCGGCCAAAGCCCTCGTCGTAATTTCCCTTGGCCTTGAAGAGTTGTTGAAAATGCGGCTTGCAGTAAACGTTTCCATGGAGAGATGCATAGCTACAGAGGCTGCAAAGGCAGAGAAAGACGTGATCAAGTAGCATCGTGACACGTAAAGAGAACGACACAAACCTTGGCTTACAAGTGGAACAGGACACAATGGAGTAAGACTGGCGCATCAGGAAAAGGCAGTCTGATGACCACGCTTAAATTGCACCAATGTCCCCCGATGGTTAATTTAATTGGCGGGTGTTTGAAAATATTCCCCCCCTCCACCCCATGCCACCCCCATATTTGGCTAATCTTACAAACAGCACGGTAATTGAAAATGAGATGTGATCGAATGTGAGTGTGTGGGTGTGTGTCAAATGGGGGTATGACGGATTCCAAACGGATATTTATCCGTCTCGTGGCATGAAGCGAATGACGTAATTGGAATAAAATTATCGATTTTTTTTTTACAAAATAGTTTGCGTGCGAGCGTCAGTTGTGTACTGTTAACTCAACTGTGTAAACCCATGGCCTGTTCTTAGACCGCTTGCAAGCAAAGCCCTTCGACCCTTCACGTAGCCTGGCACAAGCGCCGGGGCGACGTCTCTGCCACTTCAATGGCGAGTGGCGGCTGCGGTTGTTGTGGTTGTGGTTGTTGTGGTTGTTGTGGTTATTGTGGTTGTTGTGGTTGTTGTGGTTGTCGGTTGTGCAAAGCAAAACGATGCGGGTTCCCCTCACCTCAACGAGGTTGAACAGTGGTAGCAGCGGAAGCAGAGCCTATGGTAGACCCTTGTGTCGGCCACCAGCCGGTCCATGGGATAGACTGTCTTTTGACAGCCCGTGCAGACCTCTTTTGGTTGAGACTGGAACTTCTGCCGGGGATCAGTCGCGCGCCAACGTTAACGAGGGCTACCCCCCCCCCCCCCCCGCGGGCGCCAGGACACACGGCAGCGTGAATGCCAACCATAGCCACCGGAGCCACGTGGTAGCAGTGGCAGAGTCTCATTCCCACCGCTCAATCGCTAACGCACAATTGTTTAAACCAGTCCATCTATCATCATTGTTATTATCCTCTTTGTTCTTTCAACGTTAAAAGACATTTTAAAGTCGACGCAAGCACGGATGTTTATTTTAGAATTAGTTCATATGCGGCTCTTTGTTGAATCCATCGCTGGATGCGGGCCTCCAGATGCCATGCCTGTCACTGGGGTTGCTTGGTCATACTTCGCCATTTTGGGTAAGGGGTGAGAGTTGACAAAAGGGGGGTCCCGGCAAAGGACCGGTTCAGACTTCACTTTGCCACGGACGTTAGCCGTGGCCGGGGATCGAATTCGGCTCGCCAGGTCCGTGGTGCGGTGCAATATATACAAAATGTCTCAATAGCCTGTCAAGTCAAATATTAGGGGCTAACCTTTGCCATATTTGTGGATGATATTCTACCGTTGTGTTGAATAAAATGCAACCAAAAAATAGTTCAGTTTTTTTTACATTAACTTATTGCAGGGTTATATTCCCGGTGTTGTAACGAACAAAAACTACCAACTTAAAATGTTAAAAATTTATAAATATCGCAGAAACGTTCTGGGAGTGTGAATGAGACAGTCATTTTAACCACAGCAGTTACAGCAAAAATTACATTCGACAACACAATGCACTTTCACTTCGCAACAAAATCCGCAACAAACTACATCCATCCATCGCATTGCAGTCGGTACCAACTACTAGGTCAAACCAAAACGTACCAAAAGCAGTATATAAACACAACTGGACCGCGCCTGCAGTTCACTACAAGCGGCAGCAGACCAAGCCAAGACGGCAAAGCAATGCACGGAAAAGGAAAAGAATATATATAGGGAGCTTCGATAAAAGAGAAAGTTCAGCAAGCAGTAATCGCCGGGTGCCGTGAACGTTAGACCTATCCTCGTCATGCCGTCAGCCTTTTTTTTTGGGGGGGGGGAGGGTGGGGGGAGGAGGGGGGAGACAGCCCTGGGAGGCAGCACCCAACGGGTTTCTCATGCTCTTCCGCTCACAGTCTCATGTTACCGGTGGTTTTGGGGGCGCTCCGAGACGAAGCCAAGCTCGCTTCGGGCCTTGGGCCAGCCGACAGACTTGCCGCTAGGCTGGCAGTTGCGGGAGGGGGGGCGGCGGAGCGAGCCGCCTGCTCCGGGGAGCCGCCCAGGCTCCACAGCATTCGCTCCGCCTCCTGCAGGCTCTGCTCCAGGCTGCTCAGGTCGTTTGCCATGCTCCTCAGCAGGGACGTGTGACTCTCGGTCAGCTGCTCGGAGGCGGACGAGACGGCCGTTTCTCCACGGAGGTCGCGCGCTCTCGTCGTCACCGCGTCCTCGTAGCAGGGAGGGGAGAACGGTTGCATGGGAGTCTCCGGCTTTGGGGGCTTCTGCCGCCCGGGAGAATTCGACGCCGACGTGGCCGTCGCCGCGACCACTACCGCCACCGCGGACGTTTTCTTGCTGCCAGCGCTCGACCTCTCGGCCGTGTCAGCAACGACGTGCGGCGCGTTCTTCTGCTGGCTCGCGGGCCGGACTTGTGGCAGGTGGTGGTGGCTGTGTAGGGCTCGGTCGCTCAGCGGGCCTTTTTGGGGAGTGTTGCTACGGGAGCCGTCGGAGAGGTCGCTAACATCGCCTTCGAACCCTCGGAAGTCACTTTCGAAATGTCCCGCCGCCTGCCTCTGCTGCTTAAGCATCGTGCTGCTGCTGCTGTGCGAGCTACTTTGGAACGAGGCCGACGCTTGCACTCTGCTCTGGGTGCTGCCTTCAAACCTGGTCCTCACGGACTTCATGTCAATGGTGGGGATTTCGTCCAGCTGCCCTTTCTTTTGCATAAACTCGTCCTCGCTGTCACTCCCCAAACGCTCGGGGATTTCAATGGGGTCTTTCCGAGTGTAAACGGTGTGCTCCGGGCTCTCAAATCTGTGAACAAGTCCCGTAAAGTCTACTCTGGGCATTTCGTTTTGTGCCGAAGGATGTGGAGAAGGAGTAAGTGGAGGATTTGGACTGGGTGTGCCGGTGTAATCTGGCTCCGGCGCCAAACGTTCAGAGATACCTATCGGCTCCTTGCGGACATATGCTCTATTATCCTCTATTCTTTTTGCCTCTTCGAACATGCCCTTGATGTCTTTCACTTTGCCCGGCGTGAGGGGAGACCCTGCCTCGCTAGCCCCAGGTGCCGGCGTCCTGCCGACCGCGGGTGGAGGATCCGGTGCGGCCGCGCCTATATTCAGTTGCCTGCGGAGCGTCGGCGGCGACGGGATTATCTCGGAGCGCTTGGTGGTCACGTGACCCAGGCTCAGCTGCGGAGGGCTCGAGGGGACGCCCTGCGAGAGTTTGCTGGTCGCGTCGCGCAGCTTGGTCAGCTGGTCCAAGCGCCGCTTGTTGGAGGGCGACGTGGCCCACAGCTGACACGGAGGCGACGGGGTGCGGGCGCTCAGCTGGGACGGGGAGAGGGCTAGGGGCGGAGGCGGCGGCACGGGGCTGAAGAACTTACGAGGCGGAGGAGACGGAGGGGTTCGGAATGGCAGTCTAAAGTCGGTCGGCTTTCGAGCCGTGGACTCGATGGTGATGAAGACGGGAGACGGAGACGTCACGCGGCGCTGAAAGGCTACGCTCTCCTCTACAGACCGTCGGCCACTTACCATTTCTTCTGCGATCGAACTGGAGTCGATCGTCTTTGCCGGCGGCTCGGGCGTCGTTTTGCTCGAGCCGATGCTGATGGTGCGAATCCTGTGCCCTAGGGGTCTTTCAAGCATCACGTCAGACGGCGATTCTGCTTTGCCGAACATCTCTGCGCTTACAGCCCTATACCCGTTTTCCAACTTTTCCCGCTTGCCAGAAAACCCCCCAGCAGAAGCGTCACGCTTGTCGGCTTTGAACTCACCTCGAGGCTCCCCGCCAGGGACAGATTTTTTCTCGAATGTGCCAAGTTGCTCCGGAGTCATTCGGTTATTGAATCCATCCTGGCCGTGCTCCGTCCACTGCTGCTGCTGCTGCTGCTGTTTGATATTGGTCTGCGTCGTCGTCTTGGAGGAGAACTGCCGCGACGTTTGGACACGCTCCTCCTCGTGGTGCCGTTCCGTCATGACGCGATGGGATGACGACGATGACGACGACGACGCCATCTGCTGCTGGTGCAGCTGTTGAGCCGCGCCCGAGGAGATCTGCACCTGGTGCTGCAGGGGCTGTTTCCCGGTCTCCGACAAGTGGTAAAGCTTGCGAAGTTCATCCTGCTTATCCGTAGATTTTGGCTTGTTCTCAATGTTCTGCTGACCCTCTTCTTTCTTGTGCAGAGTAACCTTCCTCGTGGAAGTAACGTGGGATTTCTCCTGTTTTTGAGTTGCCTCAGGCACTGGGTGAGTCTCAATTACGTTTGGTTTCCGGTCCTCGGTCACACCTTTGACCTTCGGTTCGCCCATGTGCTGGCTCAGTATCTGCGAAATATTCTTCGCCGCCTCTTTCTTCATCACGGTGGCCTTGCTCGCCGTCGCGTTGGAAACGGACGACACGTCGAAAGCGGCCAACGCGTCTTGGTCAAGCGGTGCGACGATGACCATTTGTCCTTGTTGCTCGCTCATCACATCAGCGAAGAACGAGTTCGGAGGGGAGGCGCTCACGGACTTTCCCTTTTCCAGCTGCTGCTTCCTGAAGTTCTCCTCCGCGATCATTAAGGGCGTCTTGAAGCCTCGATTGGCGCTCTTCGGTCTCGGCAGGGGAGACGTGGGAATGGCGATGGTCACCGGAACGCTGCCATGCGTGGGAGTATTTGGCTTTCTCGGTTCGGCCTGCGGAATCGCCACCCTGGGCCGTGCCCAATGCTCTTCACTCGCCAAGGCGACGGCACCAGCGTGCGCACTCCCCATTTGCGTCACCTGCGCGCTCTGCTTCTGTGTCGACTCCACGTGCACGCTCCCCATTTGCGTCACCTGCGCGCTCTGCTTTTGTGTCGACTCCACGTGCGCACTCCCCATTTGCGTCACCTGCGCGCTCTGCTTTTGTTTAGACACCCCACGCGCGCTCCCAGTTTGCGTCACCTGCCCGCTCTGCTTTTGTTTAGACACCCCATGCGCGCTCCCAGTTTGCGTCACCTGCCCGCTCTGCTTTTGTTTAGACTCCCCACGCGCGCTCCCAGTTTGCGTCACCTGTGCGTGCTCGCTCTGCGTTCGTTCGGTGTCCGTGCGCGTCTGCACCAGCATCTCGCTCGTCGTCGAGCTTCTCTGTCGCTGGGACGACGACGAAGTCGACAGCGACGTCGCCGTCTTCACATCGGTCTTGGCGTCGGCACGTTTTGGAGAAATCTTCACTTTTGTTACATCAGTGACCTGCGTTGTCAAGGGTATTATCGTAACCGATGATGACATCAACGACGATGATGTCACGGCAGTCGTCGAGGGAGACGCAGGAGTGGACGGGAAGTTCTTCTTCTTGAACGGTATTGGCCCATACGGGGAGGGCGGTGGAGTGGAGAGGTTCATCGTCTTCACCTTGAATGAACTCTTAGCTGCACGACTCGCCTGCGTCTTGGTATTGGATAGCTGGGCGGTAACGGGGGCAGCCTGCGGAACTAAAGCCGGGGGCGGAGGAGGCAGAGGCAAGTCGTCCGGAAGGGCCTCGGCTGCAGACGGAGGCAGCGGCAGAGGGCAGTCAATATCCACTTCCATGGGGGGCGGTGGTGGCGGAAGTGGCAGTTCATCCTCGGCCAAGGGGACCGGCCGAGGAAGCGGTGGCGGAGGCAGCAGGCTCAGCTCCACGGCCTTCTTTTTGTAGCCAAATGGCAGGGTCACAGTGGTTTTTTGTTTCACATCTTTGCCTAAAATGTTCGCCTTGCTCTTATGCTGAAGCTCGGAGGAGGACAATGTGCCGGAGACCTGCTGCGACACGCATTCCTCTGTCCCCTTGTGTGCATCTTTGTGGGATGTCTTGGATTCCTTGCGGCTCACATTGACCGTGCTCTCCTCGGACACGTTCATAACCCTACGGCTTTCCTTAACAACGCTCTCTCGAATCATTTGCTGTTGGCTGGAACTTGCGATTCCCTGGATGGATGACCGCTGATCGACTTCAGATTTTGTGTTCTGCTTTGCCGCAATATTCGTGTCAGTGGTCAACGGTTGGATCTTTTTAACTTTAATCACTTGCACTTTGCTTTGTGATGGAGAAAGTCCGACCAGGTGGCTTTTGGCCTTTTCATCTCCCAGCACTGACTTCTCAGCCTTTATGTTACCAGCGGATCTGTCCGTTTGATCCGCCTCCTGTTTCTTGATTTGCACTTCTACCTGTCGGCTCATTTCATCTCTCTTGTGAGTGGTTTGCTGTTGAGTGTGACGAGCAGATTCTTCCGTGGAGATCGTTTCGTAGCTTTTTCCCACCTTCCGCGATGCACTTTGGCTGTGATAATGGTGAGATTTGGGCTTCACTCCTTTCACGAGGGCATCCTCTTCTTTTGTAATATGCTTCGTTTCTTCAACTTGCTCGCTCAATTTTGTGTTAGGGGTGTCAGTGATCAGATCTACATTGATTGTGGAAGTAGGTTGTTCTTTCTGAACGACCTTTTGAAATATTTCGTGGTCACTCTGATCAGTCTGCTCAAGCGAAGCCTGCTTTTGGATATTCTGAATTTCTTCCTCCATATCTACCTGCCTTTTTATGTCTTTCTTCTGCGACTGGATCAACCTCTTTTTCGCGGCCTTAATGTTCGCTCTGACCACCTCTTCTCTCTGAGTCTCTCGGACCGCTTTCTTCGACTCCTCTAAACCTTGCAATGCTGCTTTCAAGTTCCCTCTCACCGCCTCTTCTTTCTCGGCGACCTTCACAGCCTGCTGCGCTTCTTCCAAAGACCTCAAAGTCGCCTGCAGATCAGCTCTGACAACGTCCTCTCTATCGCTCTCCTTTACGCTGCCTTTCTGCCAGTCTTGCAATGACCGCAGAGTTGTCTGGAGATCTGCACGGACTATGTCTTTTTCTTCCTTGGCTGAGACCGCATTTTTGGCCTCGTTTAAAGACCTCAGTGCGGCTTGAAGGTCTCCGCGGATGACCTCCTCCCGAACGACTTCTATCTTCGCGTTCACAGCCTCCTCCAGTGAACGGAGGGCAGTGGGGAGGTCCCCTCTTACAACATCCTCTCTAACCATCATTATCTTAGCATTAATCGCTTCCTCTAATGACCGGATCGCCATCTGGATGTCGCCCCTGACGACGTCTTCTCGCATCACGTCCGTTTTCAAGTTAACGGCCTCGTTGAGAGACCTTAGGATACTCCTGATGTCTCCTCTCACCACTTCCTCCCTCTCGACCACGCTCTGTGAACGCTGTGATTCCTCCAGAGACCTCAGCGCCGTCCGGAGATCTCCCCGCACCACGTCTTCTCGAATCATTTCCACCTTGGCGTTCACGGCGTCTTCGAGCGACTGGAGCACTTTCCTCAGGTCGCCCCTCACTATGTTCTCTCTCGCGGTCATTCTCACCACATTCTTGGCCTCTTCCAGTGACTGCAGAGCAGCCCGGACATCTCCATTCACCACATCCTCTTTCACCATCTCTATTTTAGCATTAATTGCTTCTCCCAGTGAGCGTATCGCCTGCTTAATGTCTCCTTTTGTCGCTTCCTCCCTCGCAATCTCACTCTTGGCAGTGATGGCATTTTGTAGCGACCTCAAAATGGACCTAATGTCCCCCTTCACCACTTCGTCCTTTTCGACGGCGACCTGCGCGTTCTGAGCCTCCTCCAGCGACCTTATTGCAGCCTGAAGATCGCCCCGCACAACCTCCTCCCGCACGCTCTCCACCTTGGCATTGACGGCACGTTCCAGCGACTGGAGCACAGTCTTGACATCCCCTCGCACCATGTCTTCCCTGACCGTCGTCCTCACTGCCTTCTGCGCCTCTTCCAGCGAACGGAGGGCGGCGTGAACGTCCCCCCTCACCACTTCCTCCTTGGCGAGCTGAACTTGTGAGTTGAGGGACTCCTCCAGAGACCGCACAATTGTGCGCAAGTCTGCCCTAACCACCTCCTCCCTCTCCGCCATTTCCGTCTTGGAATTCACCGCCTCCTGCAGCGATGCCAGCGCATCTCGAATGCTGCCTCTGACCACCTCTTCACGAATCACTTCCTCCTTGGAGTCGATGGATTCTTGCAGGGACTTCAGCGTGGCGTGGATGTCTCCCTTGACCACCTCCTCTCTGCTGATTTCCCTCACCGCCAGCTGGGCTTCCTGCAGTGACCTCAAGGCTCCCCGAAGGTCGCCTCTCACCACGTCCTCCTTCGCAGACTCCACCTTTGCATTCAGAGCCTCCTCCAGGGACTGCAAAGTGGCCCTCAGGTCTCCTCTGACGATGTCCTCCTTTGCGACCTCGACCTTGGTGTTCACGGCTTCCTGCAGAGACTGCAGCGTGGCACGGAGATCGGCTCTCATCACATCCTCCCTGACCACCGAGGTCTTGGCATTGACAGCATCCTCGAGTGATCGCAGCGTTGCCTGAAGATCTCCCCTGGTCACCTCTTCTTTTTCGACAACCATAGCTTGTTGGGCGCTCAGCTCCAGCAGCTGCTTGGTTTTCTGGACGTCTCCAGGAACGATGTCGATTTCCTGCGCTCGGCGAGTGGATTCGTCGTCGTCCTCCTCTGCGCCTTGCTTCTGTAGGAGCTTCAGGTAATCTAATGCCCCGCTTTCAATGCAGGTTGTGAAGAACTGAACGTTTCCTCCCTGTATTTCGTCCTGCTGCACTTGCTGATGGCGAGAGTCACTCTGGGCCGAGGTCATGAGGCTGTTTATCGCCCCCCTGACATTTCCAGCCACCACGTCTTCTTCCCTGCGACTGGAATCCTCTTCTCTGTTCAGCAGGGAATATATGGTCATCTTGACGTTGCCCGTTTCGCCCTCTTGAATAAGGATGCCTCTCCTCAGTCCAGATGCATCGCTTTGACTGAAAAGTTGATCAATTGCTTGGCGGATGTCTCCTCGGATTACTTCTTCACGCTCGGTGCTGGCTTCGGAGGACTGGTGCATCAGCCTCTCTAAGGTTTGCCGAAGATTTCCCCTCTCCTCCGAATCAATCACAATGCTCTGGTGGTCCTCTCGCTTCTTGGAGAGCAGCTGCTGCAAAATGCTATGCATATCCCCACGAATTATTTCATCCTTCTGAATTTGGGGCTGAGCCTCTGGGTTCATTAGGTTATACATGGCCATTCGGACGTTGCCCACGTCACTTGACTCGAGCAAAATTCCGCGAGAAGAATCCACCACGTTGCAGTCAATCAACGACCGCAGGGTCTCTCGAATGTTCTTGCCGACTATTTCCGGCTTTTCAACGTACGTGCCCGAGTCACCGAGCCTGTGCAATGGGGTGCGCTCAAACAGCCAGGTCGTGGTTTTCACATCGCCACCCTGGATCTCTTCTGCCCGGACAGTAGTCTCTTCATCTTGTTCCTTTATCTTGTCCAGGGGATGATTTTCGAACAGCCAGAGAGAATTTTTCAAATCGCCACTTTTCACATCTTCTCTTATAACTTTGGTGAAGTCCAGCTTCTCAGAAGCGCTTTCCCCGATTTCGTCAATATTCTTCGTCTCAAAAAGCCAGCGAGATGTCCGGACGTCCCCTCTCTGCACATCGCTGACACTGACCGTTCTCACGAACTTCCGACGATCGACACCTTCCGACTCAAACAGCTGTGCGTTTGACTGCACATTGCCACCCTGCACGTCGTCCACCGTTCTGATCAACACTTTCCCGTCCTCGGCGATCGTATCGAGCGGCTGGGTTTCAAAGCGCCACCGGGCAGTTTGCACATCCCCACTCTGAACGTCCTCCTGGGTGACCGCACGGATCACGTGCACCTCCTGACCCGCGCCAATGGCGTCCAGCGGCCGCGTCTCAAACAGCCAGCGCGCGCTGCTCACATCCGCGCGCATCACCTCCTCCTTCTTGACCGTCACCACTTCGTGGAAGTAACCCTCGCGGTCCTGAATGGCGTAGAGGGGCTGCGTTTCGAATAGCATGGTGAACGACTTCACGTCTCCCCCGATGACTTCCTCCTTCGTCGCGTCGGACACGTCTGACCCGTCACCCCGGATCTGATCAAGCGACCGAGTCTCGAACACAACTCGCCCGCTCTTGACGTCACCACCCACAACGTCGGAGATCGTGCCGACCAGCTGCGCCGCCTCTGGGTCCTCGCCTATGGTCCCCATCGGCCTATTCTCGAAGAGCCACGAGCACATGTGGACGTTGCCCCCTTGTACGTCGGTGACGGTCCTCCTCAGCTTCACCGCGTCCGGATCTTCCCCGATCGCTCCGATGGGTTGCGTTTCAAACAAGGACGTGTACTTGTTCACATCACCTCTCTCGATGTCCTCCGCCTGCACCGTCTTCAACTTCTGTCCCGTAGACTCCCCGACGATGGTGTCGAGGGGGTGGTTCTCGAACCGCCACTTGACGCGCGAAACGTCGCCCGACTGCACGTCGATGTTGGTGATGCGCCTCACGTCCTGCCCTTCCTCGAAGCCGCCGCGGATGCTGTCGAGGCGCTCGGTCTCGAAGAGGATCCTCCGCGTGCGCACGTCACTGCCCTCCACGTCCTCCTGCCTGAGCGAGCGCACCTGCAGCTTGTGTGCAGCGCCGTCCGCTACGAGCGTGTCCAGCGGCTGGTTCTCGAAGAGCCACGTGCACGTCTTCACGTCGCCCTTCATAACCTCCTCTTCGCCCTCTCGCTTTTCTACCTTTTCATACAGCGCGTCCATGGGTCGAGTTTCGAAGAGCCAGCGACACATCTTGACGTCGCCTCGGTGAACCTCCGTGCGCTGCTGGGTGACGCTCTCTTCATCTGCGTTTTTTATCGTGTCCAGGGGGTGCGTCTCAAATAGCCACTTCGCTGTCTTCACGTCACCCGCCTGCAGCTCCTCCTTTGAAATGCCCTTTATGATTTGGATTTTCTGAAGGCTCTCCTCGTCAAACTGGTCTAAAGGTTTGGTCTCAAACATCCAGCGGCAGCTCTTCACATCTCCGCTTGAAACCTCCTCCCTCCTCACGGTCTGAACCTGGTGGTAATAGCCAGAGCTGTCCCGGATGGCATAGAGCGGAACGGACTCGAACAGAGATTTCGTTGTCTTAACATCCCCTCCTATTATGCCTGCAGACTCGGTGATCTTCTCGGTGTCCTGGATTGATCCCAAAGGAACGGTCTCGAACACCTCTTTAACGGACTTCACCTCCCCCCTCTCGCTGCCGCTGCGCTGCACCGTTTTCACAATCTCCTTTTGCTCCTCTTGTATCAGGTCGAGCGGCTTCGACTCGAACACCCACTTTGCGTGTCGAACATCGCCTCTCTCGTCGGCCGAGGCCTCTACGGTTTTCAACTTTCCCACCTCCATTAAAGTACCAAACGAATCCATGGGCCTGGTCTCAAACAGCCAAAGGGAGGACTTGACATCGCCTCCAATGACCTCCTCCTTCTGCTGCCGATCCTCATCGGCATTATCTTTCAGAGTGTCCATTGTGTGGGTCTCGAACAGCCAGCGGTGTCGCTTCACATCAGAGCCCTCGATCACCTCCTTCTGCACCTTCGTATATTCCCCACCCTCCGTGTCCTCGTTGATCGTGTCCAGCGACTGGTTCTCGAAAAGCCACCGGGCTCTGCCCACGCCGCCCTTCTGCTCGTCCTCCATGGAGATACCCCGCACGATCCGCAGCTCCGAGGAGCTTGCGTTGATGCTGTCCAGGGGGCTCGTCTCAAAGAGCCAGCGCGCCGACTTGACGGAGCCTTCCACGCCGAGGCTGCACTCTTCCACCTCCTCCCTGCGCACGGACGTGATGCGGTGCACGTGGCCCTGGCTGTCTCGAATGGCGCACAGCGGGTACGACTCGAACAGCTGCACGGATCTACGGACGTCGCCCCCCAAAATCTCCTCCAGCTCGGACTTCAACTTCAGCAAGTCCGACTCTTCCTCTTCCCACCGGGCCAAAGACGAAATTGGTTTAGTTTCGAACATGTATCTGCCCATGCTGACGTCCCCGCCCATCACCGTGCTCCTCACGTCTTCGGTGGCCTCGGCCCCGCTCAGCGCATCCAGGGTCCGCGTCTCAAAGAGCCATGTGGCGGTGCGCACGTCCCCCTTTGCCAGCTCGGGCATCTTTGTCGCCTTGTCGGCCGAGTGAACGGCGAGGCTGTCCAGCGGCTGGGTCTCGAACTTCCACGCCGTGTAGCGCACGTCGCCGCATGGAATCGGATCGCCGCCGCCGCCACCGCCGCCGCCGCTGCCGCCGGCGTTCGGGTCGGGCGTGCCGGGCTCGCGGATCGTGTCCAGGGGCTGAGTCTCAAACATCCAGCGCATCGAGCGCACCTCTCCACGCAGGATCTCGTCCCACTCCAGGCACTCGCGGTCCCCCTGTGGCGGGGGCGGCGGGCTCGGCCCCGCCAGGCCCTGCTCGTAAAGCCAACGTGCCTGCTGCGGGTCGCCCGCCTGCGCTGCGCCGCCGCCCTGCGAGGAGCCCACCAGGTCACGCAGGCACTCGCGCTCCAGGTTCTTGCGCACCTCCGGGTGGATGTGCTTGTAGAGCCTCCGCAGTTCGTTCAGCTGCTGCTGCTGCCGATAGGCGACACGGGCGTGAGGCTCGGGCGACGGTGCCATCGCCGCTCTCTCCTGGGGCACCGTCAGAAAGCCCGGCTCTGGGGAGGCGGCTGCCGAGGTCCGCGCAGGAGTCCGGGACTTGCTGGATTGGGGGGCAGGCGGCGGAGGTGGGAGGAAGTCGAGGGAGCCGTGAAGGAGGTCGCTGGGCGGAGGAGGAAGCGTTTCCATGCTTCCGTTGTGGCTGGAGACCGATGACGCAGCACCTGCAGATGTGGCGACTTGCACGCTTGTGCGCAAGACACTGTGCGATTTCCAAGCACTGGCTTCGGTTTTGTGTTCCATCTTAAGTGGAGAGAACCAGATTGGAACTTTAATTCATGGATCAAACCCACGCAATGTTTTCTTCATTCCAGGGCATGCCGTCAAAGTTTCATGCTCCGCGGACGTGTGTGCACGCGATGCGACCGTTCACTGCACTGCAAACTTTTCATGCACAGCATGCACATTTTACGTTTCCGTTTTATTGTCACTTTTTTCACGAACAAGCAATTGTCACTTTGAAAACGGCGAATAAACAAACCTCCACACACCATGCTTGTTGGAGCAACCCACACGGCACACGCCCTCCGATTTCCACCGCCGCCGCACTCAAAAAGCAACTTCGTCAGCGGCTTGGCCTAGAGGCAACTTCGTCAGCGGCTTGGCCTAGAGGGGGCGTCGCAGCCGCCCCTCCGCTTGGTGGCTCGAAGGCGCGTCGGCGAGCTCCTCACACGGGGATTGGCTCATCGGTTTTGACGCTTGCTCTCCTGTCCCCCCCCCCACCCCCCCACCAGCTTCCTCTTCTGGCCCCATCCGCTCGCAACTCCGAGAAGGGGTGGGGGGGGGGGGGTGGTCAGGGTTGCCTGGCGCTCCGCCGCGCAAGGCTTATGAACGTTTGGCGCTACAGTCCCATTTGGAGTTGGGGGCTTCATAGTAAAAGGAGAGTGCAATAAGAGGCAGCGGAGGAGGAGGTGGAGGAGGAAAGGAAGCGTAGGGATAATAAAAAAAAGCAGTGCAAAGGAGAAAAAAACACTGCAAACACACACAGCAAAAAATCCACACTGCAACTCAACGAGACATCATAGCGTTAAAACTAAACACGAGAACCAGCGCTCATCTAAAACGTGACTGCGCTAAGTTAGGACGTACACTGTAGAGTAGGCTTGCGAGGGATAGATGTTTTAATGGGGTTTTGCTTGAGATGTTTTAATTCTCATCGACCAAAATGTAATGGACTTTCTTTCGTGTAACTTTACGCGTCACAATAATTTTGGCCCAAAAACCTTCATACTGTACTGTATCAAATTTGAAAAACACACAAACCCCTTGTATTGGCCACACAATTACTCCACCATTGTTGTATGCTTTAAGTTTAAAGAAATTCAATAACAAGTGACAAAACCCAGTTAATCAATTTCATCTTAAATATTTAAAATAAAAATACCTGTTCAAGTACAAAATGAATTACCTGACCCTAGCCAACACAACAAAGCATCTCCGAAATGCAAATGTGAATTCCTGGCAAGCCCACGCATACGGTACGATTTAAAGCATTACATTAAACAAGAACGCTAAACGACAACTACTCTCCACTAAGCTGGTATCTTGCTAATCATGTTAGAATTGGTGCGAACAGAAGCCGTTAGTAACCACACCTTGTGCAACCTCTTCACCTTAGATGCATCCACCACGTCGCCATCGGAGGCCTGTTTTTTGGCCTGATGGTCAAAGGCACTGGGTGCTATCGGGTGGGGAAAAACACCACGCGCGCAATCCGTTAAACGACACGCAAACAATAAAAAAACCACAACACGTGTTGCGACCGCCAACGCGTGATATCGGAAACGGCCATCCCATTCGCCAGGGTCGCGAACGATGTCGCGGTGTCAAAAGGTCAGGCGCCCGGGGTGAGTTCTCTCACGAGCAAAGGGCAGATGGAGCAAAAAGGTTCGACAGGTTCGCAGTAGAGAGCGGAATGAAAATCGGTTCGATTCAGGGTGGCGTATCGATTCGAGAATCGGTTATTTTGGTTTAACGCCATGGTGAAATGTAAATCGGTAATTTGGGCGCCCGAGAGGGTCACGTGAAACCGACAGAAAATAACACAGGGGTGGAAAAGCGCCACGCTAGAGTGGGCGCAGACACCATGTGCAAACCAATCCAATGCGCGCATCATCGACTTAAGTGACAATAATTAATGTTAATCGATTCATCGATGCACCATCACACCTCCAGTTTGATGGTGCCTCCATTAAGTAGTGTGATATTATCAGTGCCAGCGTTTTGGTAAAGACGGATATTACAATAAATCTTACAAAAGACATTTACATAAGTCCACATCGAGTTTGCAGTGTATTTGCGTTACAAAAACTAACACCATCAACAAATATTAAAAGTTTCCGTATGTGCGCCGGACTCACAATCGGTATCTTTGGCCTTGTGAGCAGAGGAAACTGATCTTGAAGTATGAACATTATCTTCAGACTTTGAAGCCTTCGAGGGAAAAAAAAAAGATACAAAGTTCGCATATTACTACACGAGTAACAAAGAGTGTAATTTAATTCTTAGTACAAAGCACAGAAACACTGCCACCAATACATCCCATTAAAACCATCAATACTACATGTGTTTGCATTGATCCACTGCTGGATGAAGGTATCCCCACGCCGTGTCAGTCATGGGGGTTGCCTGATCAGACTCCACCCCCCGCTGGTCAGTAGCGCCGACCGGGACGTGCAACGTTTCCACCAAACTCGGCACAAGCGTGCAATTGCGCCCAAGCCAAAGAAAAGCCTTTCGGGCTCTGTTAAGCATGACGGAAGAACCGCCGTTTCCTAAAGAAAATGCACTGTTGGTCTCCTTGCCCTCTCAGGCCACAGGAAACATCCGCTGCTGCCGCGCGTGTTATGGAGCCGGCATTTGCACACACGGCGAGTGGCTCCGAGTGAATTCCCTCCGGCACGGCAGTAGGTGGCGCTCGGGCACAGCGAGAGTTGGTAGTGGCGGCAGCAGCCCTCTCTCCTCCACGCGTGCCAGCGTTGGAGATCGAGCGACTTAACTGGGTTTGGGCCCGGAGACAGACAAACAACCGTCAAGGCAACAAGCGACAATTCTGGCCACTTGCCCGGGAGGAGGACATCGCGCAGATATGGAAGGCGTTCCGGGCGTGCGTGTTTGTAAACCGCTTACGACGTTTGGCACGCTTGGTGACTTATCAGGCGACGTGTAAACAATTTATTTACGTGACGCCGAGTTAGTTTGTTTTCGTGTGTTCGGTCGGGTGCACAAACACAAAAAAAAACCCAGCTTCGGCGAAAACGCTGCCTTCAAAAACGTCACCAGATAATTCGCCAAAGCATTGCGCACAGTAAACCAATACGGGGATTCTTACTCTGTCTCCGATTAGATAGACGTATATATGTTTCTCCCCTTTTCGCAGGGCAACATTGCTGGTTGTTGGGGGGGGTGGAGGGGAAGTGGTGGGGTGACGCGGGGGTGGAGGGGGGGTGGCAGAGCGCTACACTTGTACACTACATCTACACCAAATTGGCACATTAGATCCACAACCAAGGCCGTGTGGTGCGGGTGTCCGATAAGAGGGTCCCAGTTTGGTTGAAGGGAAAAGTGTACAAGACGGTGGTGAGGACGGTGCTGTTGTATGGGGCCGAGTGCTGGGGCACAAGAAAGAGGTGGGACCAAGCTATGGCAGTGACAGAGATGAGGATGTTGCGGTGGATGTTGGGTTTAACGAGGAAGGAACAGGGTGTGAGAAATGAAGAAGTGAGATGAACACTCAAGGTGGTAGAAATCACCGAGAAGACGAGACAGAAAGGGCTGTGGGTGTGGTTCGGTCATGCGGAGAGACAACAGGAACATTATGTGGGTCAGAAAGTGCAAGTGATGCAAGTGGAATGAGAGAGATCAAGAGGAAGGCAGCAGAAGACGAGGTGGAGGGAGCGATGCGGTGCGATGGGACACGGTGGCCCGAGATGGCGCAGGACAGGGCAGCGTGGAGAAGGTTGGCAAGGACAGCGGACCCCCCCCCCCCCCACAACGCGAGTGGGACAAACGCGTTTAAGAAAAAGATCCACAACCAAGGCCCTCTTCCGTCAACTGCAGTGGGCAACCGGTCACAGCAGCTGAAGAGTTGAACCAGCCGCGACTGTGCAAGTGGGGGGGGGGAGGTTCGCGATGGAGGCAGTCGAGGCGTTCGCCGCCTGCTCGCTCACCGAATGTTCCTCCAGCTGGGACGAGGAGGCAAAGCTCGAGGCGTGCTGCTCCTTCTGCTCCACCGACTTGGAGACGACGTGGACCTTGCTGCTGCTGCTGCTGCTCGTCACGTGCTGCCGGGCGACAACGCAGACACGGGCTGTGTCACGGACTCACCCGCGACAAGGGCCCAACAACAACCTAAATACCTTCGGGGCTGGGGGGAGGCGCACACCACTGGCGGGCCACCGTGGCGCTGTCTAATAATAACGTGAGAAATAACGAGCGCGCACCACGGCCGTTAAGGAGGCCCAGGAAAGTGAAGCGAGTGATCGCGCGCGCGCTAAACCTACGTTTAATTCTCACTTTTCTTTTTTAAACGGTGTTGTTGCCAGGTTTAAAAAACGCTCCCCCCCGCCGCCCCCATCTAGTACCTGATTAGTGCAGTCAACACGCATGCAGTGATGGACAAATATAAAATACTTCTTCTATATACATATGGCGGGACAGATACACGTGAAAGAAATATTGTCTGTCAAGTTATTTTGTTATTCGCAGTCTGTCTGCACAACGACCCTGGGGGGTCGTGTTTTCCCCACCGGCTGAAGGTTCCCTCCCACGAGCTCGCGGCTCCACGAGCCCAAAACAACACGCGTGGACAATATATATATTTTTAAGTAATTTACATTAATTGTTCGTGATGTATTCTGACGTGCATCATCTGTAGGAAAAAAAAGCATTAAAGCTCATCAGATTCTTCCAGTATAAATAAATATTCCGATTCTGATAATATATGCCCGTTGTCAAATTTACATAAATAATGAGAAGTATTTTCAGTTATATTTTGTCCCTCAAACGTTGCCCACAGCGCACAGTTAATCAAAAACCCTCCCTCATTCCGCGTGAGACCATCGTCACCATCGTCACCATCCGCCTCGACGGGACGGCAAAGTGTGTGGCCTTGTTGGGCAGTCTGGCCAAGAGCAAACCGGTCCCACACCATAGATTTACCAATGCGCGCATCGCACGTTACCAAAATCTCTCGGCTTCCTCCAGGCCCACCGGCTCAAAGGAACCCAACGTGTGGCCATCCGTCACATTTTATCAACGTCTCCAAGGCAACGCGGCGAAGAGGTGGAGAGGCCGATGCTCGTTTGTTTGCCTAGCGAAGGGGGCGTCCGTCACCAAGTTACCTGCACTGAGTGATGCTCACGCTGGAACTGCTGGGAGACTTCGGAAAAGCCGTCGGTGGCCTCGCCACTCGCCTCTCTCACCTGGTGAGCGGCAGCAACACAGATAGACACGAGCGTGAGGACTAGCACAAGGAGGTATACACACCAGTTTAACACGTAGGCTTTCGCGACCAATATCATCCATCATACAAGTTTTTTTGGGTTAGATCGTGTAATAAATATATACGCGATCCAACACAAAAAAACCTGTATTAAGGTACATACGTGTCTGTGTGTTCATGCGTACAAGCACACACACACCCACACGCAGAAAAAAAAGACAAAGATCCCACACCCCCTCCGTATAGCCTTAACAGAATGTTGGGGCAAGCGCTGTTACAGCGAGGAGCACCTACGAAGTCCGACACGAGGTGTTGGGTGGCCAACAACACACCTTTCGTCTCCCTATTGGCGATGTTTACACACCGCACCAGCTATTAATTTGAGGCCGAGTCGACCTAGGAGGAGGTCCAGGACCAGTTCAGAAAATCGCAGCTGGTGTTGGTCGTGAGCGGGCACTCAACCCGACTCGACGGGTCCGTAGTGCAGCGGCGCTAACTGCGGCACGAGGCGCTCCCCAAGCACGCAGACACGTACGCACACGCGTACACACGCGTACACACGCGTACACACACACACCCCCCACCACCACGTGGCAGGGCGAAAACCCACATGCGCCGCTGTAATACGATAGACCTAGCATGGGTTACCGCAAGGCAAAGAATAGACAAAACAAAGATGCCCCGTTACCCTCGCAGATCAAAAGGGCAAGTTCTGTTAACAGGCATCTATTGAGGCCATCCCGTTAAATTGATTTGTGGAATACCTACCACCACGTCCCCGCCCATCTTTGTTTCACCAGCGCTGACGATTAACACATCGCACCAGGTACTCATTTAAGTACGAGCCAACCTAGGAGAGAGGTGCCGGCGGACCCGGTTCAGATATCGCTCTCCATCATCGATGTTAGCCTCACGGCTGGGAATGGAACTCGGGAAGGTCGCCGGGTTTTCGTAGCTAAATGCGCGAGACGAATCGTGCCGACCGCCGGCACCACGCGCAGCGAGCACGCAAAGCCGTCGACACCTCTACGTTAAAACGTCACTGCACAAACGAGGGGAAAAGCAGCGGGCAAGAAGCGACGAGCTGCAGTTAATTCCATCCTGGGTCAGGGCGGACGTGCGCACGAGCAGGGCGAGAGAGAATGCGAGCGAGTGAGTGAGAGAGGTCACCGCCCCCCCTCCGCCTACCCCCTCACTCTGGAAGGGCCATGAAAAGAAAAGACTCCATGGCTTTAAATTCAGCTGCACTAATGATCAATGACCCCAGGGGCGTGTAAGTGTACGACACTCGGTCTGGCGGGCTCCGTGCAACTGCATTGTCAGAGTGTGTCGCCAACCGATGGCGTCTAGTTCAACAGCCTGACTCTCTAATCATTCTTGAAATGAACATTTGTTGAATGTCACCCCGGCCTGAAATCCTGGCTCCGCCCCTGAATGACCCGTGTCCACCTAGACACCCTCTCAACTTCTTTGTGGTCCCGTCCTCAAGAATGACGCACGCACACACACGTGTATTTTTTCGTCTCGGACGAAAAAACACATGAATATTCATAGCCGATTCTTCATCGCCATCATCAACAACAGATGCACGTATAAATACAGGCTTAAAATACTTTACCCAACGTCAGGGTTTGCCAAAAGCGGCGAGTAATTATTACCAATATATTTTTAAAAAATCGGGCAAAATTGTGGGCAACGGTCCTCCGCCAATGCAGAGAGAAAGTCTGAGTGACGCGTAAGAAACGATGCCGGTCACACACAGCAAATAGATTAAACTGTTGTTGCAAAAATCGCCGCAGTGCACAGAGACCGGTGCTAAACACAGCCTCGGACAACTCGCAATGTATTTTTGAAGTCTTTCAAATTGACAGCAGCTGTGGCAACATTCAAACGGGAGGCCGTTCCCTTGTGAACACCCACATCTGCCAGTGTCTAAAAAGAATTCCGCCGGTTACCCCTCGGCCGACAGATATAACTCGCCCCCGACGCAGACTAAAACAGGCCGGCACGCAAGAATGAACGCGCGAAGGAATTTCCCACCGATAATTAAAAAAAAATCACGATTGTTTAATCGGCCACGCATCGGTGCCGGCCGGTTTTATTTTGGGAAGGGGGCAATGCAGATACGGCTCCACAAAAAGTTCTTGAAATCAGCTTAACCCGTCTTTTTCCTTGTCGTTGGGATTCAGTTTCCACCCCCCCCCCCCCCCCCCACGACGTTATCGTGATTTTGCGATCGTTATCAAATCACGAGAAGGATGATCGATTTGGAAATGTTGCCGAGCCGTGCGTCCGCGAGAGAATGGCCCAGAGGAGGTGGCATCACGGAACTATTTCTCATTGAGTGACGTCTTCTCCCACGCGCACACACACACACACGAGTTCGCGAGGTATTTTTCCACGTGACCCGATGGGCAGTCAAACCGATATTTCAGAATTTGAGTTTAGCCAAATTGGTGACCGGGCTGAGACCATCAACACACTAACACTTGAGGCCTCACCGTGCCGCCGGCGGTGTCGGTGCGGGCGGTGCCGTCGGCCAGCGCCGCTTGGTAGGCTGCGATGCGCTCCTTCAGCGAGACGCCCTCCAGCTCCTCCTCCATGGCGCGTGCGGGGTGTGTGGTGCACGCGGTGGGACTCTGCCGATAGCGGGCGCACCGGTCGCTCTTCAAAAAGCCCGGCGGTCTGTTGGGCGCACGCGTGAGGGCGGGAGAAGACAACGGAGTGGTGGGGGTGAGCGACGTGCGGGTGGAGCGACTGCGGCAGGCTGAACGGAGTGTGCCGTTCAACTTCCGGGTGCTTGAAGACTGCAGGGCAGTGTACGTCCGACCTGGTGCTGCAGGGCAGTTTTCAAGCACCAGGTCGGACGTACACTTCACGCCTCTCGAAAGACATGGGTTAATCGTGGGTAATGCCTCATAGTCGTGCAGTGGAATCCTACTTTGTAGATTATCCAAGCAGGGCTGGCAATGAGGCATTCATCATCAGAAACATTTCAAACTACTATCGACTTATCCCGTTAATAAAGCGCACCTCCGATTTGCCCCGCACCTCGGATGAGCACGGTTGGCTACGTACGGTGCGACACGAACAAACACACACAGGACGACTGTAAAGGGTAAACGACTGCTCCAAAACGACAGCCCTCTCACGCACGCCGACTCGGACGATTCCGGAGTGTTCGACGGCAAAGTCGCACTGATCTGCAGTAGCGCCCGGGGCGGGGATTGGTTGCGTTCGCGACGTTCCGCCCCCGCAAATCGGCGGACTATCAGCACCAGCGCCGGAGCCGCGGTAAGCTCCGAGATCACCGACGAGCAAAGCTTGGCCGCGACGTTCTTCGTAGGTGGGTGTGCGGGAGAGTCATTGGGGCCAAGCAATTGCAATAGAGGATCCGTGTGTGGGGGGGGGGAGGGGAAACAAAACGCCTCCCGACGTCGCTGCGAGACGCTTTGCGAACGAATGGTGCCATGCCGCTGACACGACGCAGTTCGTAACAAATTGGAACAAGACTGATAACAACAAGACCACAAAAGAGTGGGAGAAGAAAATCCCGATTCTTTGTCTGCGTTCGTCACAGTGCGACACTTCCACGGTGGCAAGGAGATGTTAACTACCTCGCCCGGCATACAGGAGGTCGTGGGTTCAATCCCGACCACAACAGCTGGTGGATATTTTGAGTTTGCGTCTCTCCCTGTGGTCGCGTGGATATTTTTTTCACCCCTCCGGGTCCTCCACATGTAAAATCCGCATGCATGTTGAGTATTTGGCTGCTATAAATTTCCAAGCGATGATAAGCCGCTTCGTTGAGCTATCATTTGCGGCCAGATCGCTTCTGAAAAAGAGGTACAAAGCTACATACTTACCTAGTAAAATAAAAGATTGTTTGGCTAGGAAAGCTTTAACTTCAAATTAGAATGTCTGTCGCCACCATAACTGACGCCACCAGAGTAACCAGAGGCACTCGACTCGACAGCCACGCGCGGAACTTTGAGCGTTCGGAAAGCGTTCGTGCCATCTTCATTCACAACCGAGAATGCGGTGGGCGTTATTTGTTGTCATTGTACCATCGCGCAAACTCTTAAAGGCTGCCGATAGTCTTTTTACACCGTTACACCGGGAAACGAGCAAGTTACAATGTTAGCACAGATGACCTCTTGATGTTTTAAAAATAATTTGTCGTGTCGGAAAACATGTGGTAATCTCGAACACCACCACCAGCGGTCTTTACCACAAGTGATAACAAAAAATAAAAAAAGGCTTCATCGAAAAAACTGCCACAGTCAAAATGTTTAGTTGGGCACGACTGGCATTGTCATTTGTTGAGAATGCACGCTCGCAAGGAAGAAAGCTGGATAAAGTCCCCGTACACGAGTGTAATAACGTAAAGTATCCACAGACGTTAGCCGAACTTCGACCTCGTAGCCCGAACGCGTCGGGTCACGAGCAAGGCAATGTTGCTGCGATCAAAAATGCGTCTCACCCACGCTCTACCTGATCGCCAGACACAACGAACACGCGCACTGGCCGCACACGGTAGCGCAGACTTAGAATAGCGAAAAACAAATTGAAACAGGGACCCATTTGGGCACGAGCGCTATTTCCATTTCTCTCTCTCCCTCTCCAACGCGCTCGACCTTCGTGGCTGCCGCGCCAATTTTCGAGAACGTACTTTGTGTCACGAGTTGTTTTTTTTCTTAGGGTTTTTACTTCTTTACTTTTAAATATGAAAAAAAAAAACATCCAAAAATAAGGCAGGTTGCATTGCACCCCGAAATAACGGTTGCCCGTCACGTAGCCGGCATGCGGGGGGGGGGGGGGGGGGGGGGGGGGCGCTGCAGTGGCGGGGGTGGTGGGCGGGATCGGTGATTTTTTCGGCCGTGGGCCCCCACGGTCGCGCGCCGCCGTTTCGCCTCTGCCACGAAGTTATTCCAGCGCGACGCCTCGTAAATAACCCACGCCGCACCACGACAGTGCCGGACCGTGTCCCCTTACAGAGCGGATATAAAGACCCTCGCCCGCCCGCCCGCCCGACCGCCCTCATTACGATCACGTGGAGTTTTCTGGCAGTTTTATGGCCGTCGCTTTTAGATGTCGCGCGTCTCATTTTCGGTATTATAAACGCAGCCATTAATGTCCGCACGAATTAAATATCTGCGTGTGGTTTACATTTTCCTACTGATAATAATAATAAGTAAAAATAAATAAGTTATTTAATAACCGACAGCCGAGCATTTGAATTCTGCAGCACATGAGCAGCTGCCAGTGAGAGGTTGACGAAGGCAAAGGATTCAGTTCTCTTTGCGAACTGCGTTTTCGTTCTCTCGCTGAAAACCCGAGCATTTCAATTATTTATGAACGCACGCGTATCTGTTAACAGAGCACGTGATATTAAGTGCATGTGAAATACCCAAGCTTGCAGGCTACGCAATGCTAAGCATGACGTGTGCATTCATTAATAGACCTTTATGAAAGCATGATTTACGTTTACATAGCAGCAGCGTACCACATCGTACACGTTCACACATTAGCTGTTCTGGTGGAATGGTTAACTCACCCGGTTTGCAATCCACAGGCCTCCGGTTCAATTCCATCTGCCGGCTGCGGCAATTGAGACAGCGGTGCAAGTTTCAAAAATCCCACACTTCCACCGCCTCTGTCCACCCAGCAGAATGCAGTAACAGCAAAGCGTGGACTGATATTATCTGTCCCTTGTCTATGGGGTGGAGGGTTGTCCCCCCCGCCCCCCATGCACGTGTTTTGTTTTTTCCGGGTGCTCCGATTTTCTTCCACGAGTATAAACTCACTAATTGTCCGAAAACATCTTAATGTATAGAGAACTGCAGAGCAAATTGTTGGCGCCAGCTCACCGCATGGCAGCCGTCCAGCTCGTCTGTGGTTCATCAGCGGTTGTGAGACGCAATTTGCATTGAAACGATGCTATACAAAACGAATCATTTTATAGATTTTTTTTATATATATAAAGAATGACCCAACCATCACGAGATTTGCAAGTGCGCCCACGTCATCTAATTATTTTCGCATGTGTGCAGCTCTGTAGCAATTGTGGACACAATGCTGATATAGCATTCACAAGAACGCACAACTCGCGCCAACTGCGAATTCGACCGCCAATAACACATTTAGCAAAATAAACAAAGTTACCGCTTTGGACATTATTCCTTAATAATTCATTTTTTTTTTTACAAGAAGCGGGGCCTTAGCCACGCGCATCGCGTTTTACAGACGCTTGGAGCAAGTGCTGTTTACGAGCATCTATTAACGCCGGCATGGAACACACACGGGGGGAGATGCGACTAGCACCGGCGCGGCCACTATGTTTACAGGCCCCCCCCCTGCCCCCCAGGACGTGTTCAGAGATTCGCCACCGATGCCGGCCGTGGCCGGGAACCAAACTTGGATCGCCGAGTTCGTAGCGCAGCGAGAGCTCAAGACCGTGCTACCGTTCCACACGCACGCATTATGTTTGCGCGTTATGACTTCATCGCTTGTACCTCTCTCTCTTTCTCTCTCGCCGCGGCAGGGGAACACTTTTACTCTCTCGCTTGCGTCACCGCCGCAGCAGCCCAGCGCCGCGCCGGCCACGGGTCCAACGGCCACACAAAAGCGGGAGAGACCCCCCCCCCCCATCTTCCTCACATTACCCCCCCCCCCCCGCTCATTCATCATGGCCCTCAGCTTCCCCTCCGCTGCCACCCGGAGGATAGAAATCCATGCCTCGCGCGTTCGGGCTGCGCCCAAAAATAAGCACCGGGGCAAGGAGATGCCGTGCCAGGCGAGGCCCCCGGGGGCTCGGGTTACACTGCCCCCCCCCCCCACCGCTGTTCAACCCGGCACCGCTCCTACCGTCCCTCGCCAAGCGAACACGCTCCAGTGATCAGAGCGAGATCGCGACATTAAACAAAAAAACTTCACGAGTAGATGCCGCCCGGCCGAAGCGAGAAGTGGATGGAGTGCAGGAGTAAGGCTCGTGGAAGAAAAAAAAATATCGCCCAACGCTCGTTAACCGCCACGGAATTTGGACCGAATGCCTCTGTGCGGCAAAGACTGTTTGGGTAAAGATTGCTTGGGTTAATGCAGGACAATTGGATAACTGAAATGTAACTTGCTGACACGCCCCTACTGGACATCTGTGACAAAAGGGGTTCACAGCTCATCGGATTCCCCTGGTTTCAAAGAAGATATAGTTTCTGAACTAGCGACTATATTAAAAAGTCCTTGAACAAAAGCTCAACGTTTTAATCGATTTAAACGTGTTTAAACACGTGCCCCAACCAAAACGCTTGTTGTCACGGAGTATGAGAGCATTGTAATATGACGACTGTTTGTTCCTTTGGGCTCTTTTCCAAACTCTGGCTGTAATATATGCATCTCCCCCCACTTCCCCCCTCTTATTCATATTCTTGGTTCTTTCGGTAAAGTAATGTAGAAGGGAAACAATAAAATAATAAAAATATAAAACAATAAAATTCTCACGACGTTTCGACTGCAACACAAGCAATCATCATCAGGTGTGAAAACCACAGCAAGAAAATTTGAAAAAAGTGGTGGTTATTTTTAACGTTAGCACCACGGAGAGCGATTTGACAGTTTGTTCAGATGGATGAGTCCATCTATGTTCGGAAAATAGGAGGGGGGAGACGAAAATAATGTTACCAAGTTGGACTCGTCCATCTGAATAACTGCCAAATCGCTATCCGTGGTGCTAACGTTAAAAAAACCCGCCACTTTTTCAAATTTTCTTGCCGTGGTGTTCACACCTGATGATGATTGCTTGTGTTGCAGTCGAAACGTCGTGAGCATTTTATTGTTTTATATTTTTATCATTTTATTGTTTCCCTTCCACGTGACTTTACTGAAAGAATCAAGAATATGAATCCCTGCAGTCACGAAAACTTTAAATCAAAATTCCCCCCCTCTTCTTCACCCCCACCCCTCCCCCCCATCGATGTCACAACACTCGTCAGCGCCGCGATGAAGTCACGGCGCTCTCGTTGGAGCGACGGACGACATCGATGTCGCAGCTCCCGGCCAGCGACGATGAATCTGTCACCCCATTGAAATCCGTCAGTATGGGATGGGGGGTGGGAAGGGGTCGGGTCACAGGGCAACGAGTCCAGACTATTCTCAGAGTTCCCAGGAATCGCAGTCGCGTGAAGCCCACGAAGCGCACGTGCGTTGGAGTCGCGCGCGTGCGCAGAGTCTTGACCTGCACCGCAAGGTGGCTTCACCGCTGAACCTGACGGGAGCAGACGGACGGTCCCCTTTAGAAATTCATCGCGCGTCCTCGATGAGGTCACCTTTATACGCTCGTCAGCCCTTCACTGGCGGCAGTGGCGACGCGGCCGTTCGCGCACTGGCCCAGCCGCGTCGCTGGCGGCTTCGAGGTCGAGTCCCGGGCGTGGCCGGCAGCGGTGATGGTCAGCGATATCAATCCAAACCGTATCGGGGCACGCCCCCCCCCTCCCCCACTTTCACAAACACTGCACCGGCCAGGGTGGTGAGGAAGTACGGTCAAACTACACCCACGACCGACACGGCATGGCAAAGCGTTCACCCGGCAGTGGATTGACAAAGGGCCCCCCTTTCGCGTGAACAATGAACAGATGCTAGTTGTCTGGAGGATGGCAAACAGGAACAGTTTTATGCAAAGCGAAGAATGTTTACAGCAGCGAAGAGAAGGATTAACCATTGGGAGGCGGGCTCCTCGTGTGCAGAGTCTTTGCAAGGCAGGGAAACTAAACCCACGTGGGCACGGGTCATTGATATCGTTATTATCAGCTTACTACGTCGCTTAGATTGCATTCGATACTTGCGAGGGTTTTTTTTTTTTAAACGCACAGCGCTTTGGGACATTTGAATATGAAAAAGGCTTCATAAGCGGTGATTATTATCACATAGGCCTCGCTGACGCCGCTATAACATCGACGGCGAATACAAATCCACGTGACGCCGTTCAGCCGCGCTTTAAACTCTCGCTAAAGTTTACGCGAATCGGTTGATACGTTCACAATGAAACGGGTATTCAAAAAGGTAGTCCAAGTGAAATGCCTTACCCGCTATTGAAAGGCAAATGCTAAAGTTACATTTTAAATACGGATCTCTAAACGCGTGCACGTGCAGCGATGGAGCGGCGATGGCGGTGCAGTCGTGAGCACGCTGCACCGTCATCGGACCCGGCTCATCCGGGTGCGATTCCCGGATACCCTCCACGTCGGTGAGCGATACCTAAACACACCGTTGGTGTCCACCTTCGCAAAACCGCATGGACCAGCGAGGTAAAGTAGGGTCAACAACCCCAACGATCAACGTGGCGCCAGATGGCCTTCATCCATCAGCCACCCAGTAGTGGATTGATAAAGGGTTGTTGTATTATTAGAGGATAATCTTTTTCAGGGAATCGAGCTGAAACCAACCTTTTCTGAAGGCAACACGGCGTTTGTTTGGTGACGATGATGATGGTCACGACAGACGTGGTGGTTTTAAAAAAGGAGCACATTCCTCTCTACGAGTCGCTTGCAATGTCCTTTTTCACCTGGGTACCACCGCCACCACCCGCCACCGATGCAATGGTAACAACCTGTGCCCATTTTCAAACTATCCTCGATAATTCGCTTTTGGTCGGGCCACCACCGGGACTTCCCCGCGTGGTGCAGAGGCATGGATGGCGCTGCGAGTTGACCGGAGGTGGCAGTGCCGAGCGGCAGCAACCCCGCCAAGCCCGCCGCCCACTTAGACGCGTGGCGGGTTCGCCACCGCCAGCTCCTCAGATTTCCTCCCACATAGAACGCTGGTTAACGGAAGCGGCCAAATCATCCCCATGCAACACGCTCCTGAGAACGGTGTCCTGCCAGCGAGGGAGGGAGGGAGGGCCTTTCCTGGCTGGATGGTCGGCATTGAGTGTCGCACATTTGAACGCTGGTCGGCCTCTACTAGTAGATGTACAATCAACTTGTTCTTTGGGTCTTTCGGTAAAGTCACGTAGATAGATTTTGATTTAAAGCTTTCGTGACTGCAGGAATTCATATTCTTGGTTCTTTCGGTAAAGAACCAAGAATATCACGTAGATAGGTTCAAAGAAAATAACAAAAACCGACAACGTTTCGATCGCAACACAAGCGATCGTCACCCCCCCCCACCCCCCTATCTACGTGACTTTACCGAAAAGACCCAAATAATATGGAATTCCTGCAGCCACGAAAGCTTTAAGTCAAAATTTAATAAAGCTGTTGTTACTTCGCTACTCGTGGCTGTACAAATCAACTTGTTGTTCGTTACTTGACGCGCTCTTAAAGAATTGCCCCCGCCCACCCAACCAAAACACCCCTTCGCAAATCAGCACGGCAAAGTGATCCCTGAGTCGATACGTAATTCGCATCATTGAGCAGGGGACTTCAGGTACACACATGTAGTGTTTCCCTATGTTGGCTTCGAGCGTTCATTTAATTCACAAGGGACCGAAACCCCCACCCACCCCCGCAGCTGCAGATAACAAAAAGCCACTCGCGAACGCAAGGAACGCGCCTTCACCCGATGCTGATCGCTCGCTCACCCCGAGGTCTCCCTTGGAAAAAAAATACAACTTCGATCTCGACGGTTCCCTTCACCCGGTGAAGAAAGTTGAACAACAGACGAACGAACGAGTCAACGAATGGGTCAACACATTTTACCAGCGAAGCCACCAGGAGAGATTTGTCTCGGCACCGGGGCACGACTGCTCCATAATAAAGGCAGTCTATTCTCGTCTTCACGAAGGAGGTGTCGCCATGTAAGTCTTGCCCCGGGGGCACTCGTTAACCGGCCGACCCATCGTCTATTTACAGGCTGCCGATGGGGCCCACAAACAAGGCCTTCTCTTCCGCGCCTCCGCGAGACCCCCTCCCCACTCCCTCCCCAGCCACTTCCCTCCACCGCCGGGCCGCCACATAAATCAGGTCCGGGGCCCTCTCAGCCACACAGCCTCGGTCCCAACCCGCCGTGGGTGCAGTCCCGACATACGCCGTCCCGCAAGCGAGCAGCCTCCAAAAATACTCGCGCGCGGAAACGCGATACGCGGCGGAGAGAGAGAGAGAACGTTAGAGAGAGAGAGAACGTTGGAGAGGGGGAGAGAGAGAGAGAGAACGTTGGAGAGAGAGAACGTTGGAGAGGGGGACGGCGCCCGCTCCTCGCGGCCACAGAGCGAGTGAACCGGTCCTACCCCCCCCCCCACCCACCGTGCACTTCACGGTGTGGTGAAGTATGGTCAAGCAACCCCTTCATGACTTGACCGATACAGCAGGGAAGAGGCCTTCGTCCAGCAGTGGATTAACAAAAGGCGGTAAGTGCTTCTTTGCTGCGGTGCGTGTATTTATGTGGACAAGAAGAATAGCACCTGCGGGCCTGTAGTCTGTGTG